TTAGATCTGAGCCTTTTTTGTATTTATGAGCTAATTCAACTTTCTAAACAACTGGAAGTGATTCAATTTATTGCCCATTGCAGCAAAACAGTTGTTTCTGAGCCTAAAAGCATAAAATTGCATTCTGGGAAATGTAGGAAAACCACAAGCTGGGGCTCTTAGAGAAGCCTGGGGATGTTTTCTCGTTCTGCTAAATGAATATAAATGGCAGCAGTTTATCACTGAGTGTTTCCTGGAAAACCTGCGACGAGACACTTGGGTCGTTGCAAACCTGCATCCGAGTGAAGCTCCGTTTAGGTTTAACGCGGAGGGATGAATGGAGCTCTTTCTAAACATCCCACACGGATACACACAGGCTAACCCAGCCGGAAGGCGGAAATCTGTTAGGAACGCAATCTCGGAGATGATCAACCTTCACACGGACACACACGCAACACGTCATGTTCTCGGATACACGACCAAGAGGTGAAAACTGCACAAGTCTCGCTTCCGAACTCGAGTCTGTTTCACACAGATCTACCATGCACTGACTTGTATTTCTGTCATAATGACACACACACACACACACACACACACACACACACACACACACACACACACACACACACACACACACACACACACACACACACACACACACACCTTGTATTGCAGGTCAGGATGCTTCACAGGTCCAGACCTGCAAATGCAGGATGGTTTAGTGTGCCTTCACCAGCTGGTAAATGGTCTGGATTTGTAAGCGCCCTCCCAAAAGCCCCGCAAGGTGCTACACAATGCCGTCATTCATCCACACACTCCGTGGTGGCGATGAGCTACGATGTAGCCTCAGCTGCTCTGGGGCACACTGACATAGGTGAGGCCTGCCAAACACAGGCGCCGCCGGTCCTCCTGACCACGACCTAGGCGGGTTAAGTGTATTGCCCAAGGACACAACAGCAGCATTCTCTGGTGTTAGCCGGGATCGAACCTGTTTGTGACTGCTGGAGCTTCTTTACTGGTTTGTGATGTAAGAGACACTCACACAGGTCCGAGACAAAGTTGTAGTCTCATTCCTCTCGTCTCCAAGGAGTCTCCATGGCAGTGGCAGAATGAAACCGTGGCCTATGGGAGGTGTGTGTGTGTGTGTGTGTGTGTGTGTGTGGTGTGTGTGTGTGTGTGTGTGTGTGTGTGTGTGTCCTACAGACCCAAAAGTCATTTATTCTCCACAGGCCAATCAGAGGACAAGGTTTGAAAGAGTCTAATCCGATTGGTGCATCCTTCCTGACCTTTATTTCTCACGACCAATCCCAGTGGAGCCGGCAGCCTGCAGGGCAACAAAGTGCTGCAGTAGGAATGAGGAAGAGTTTTAACTCAACGACGCTAACTGTGAGTGTGTGTTTGGTGTTTCTGGAAAGGAAATGCAAGAAGTAGGACATGTGTGAGCAAGACAGCACTAGTGTCGGGGCGACACACGCATCAAATCCAGAAAACAGCAGAAGAGTAGATGGATGAAGTAAAAAAAAAAGCTCGTGGGATGAATGTGGGTCTAAACAAATATTTACACAGGATGATGCATGTGTTTATGACCACGCACTCCTCCTCTGCTCCAGTACTCATTTTTTTTGGTCTCATCTCCGTTGTTAATGGCCTCCGTGCTCCGAGTCCTCTTCTGCTTTTTTACTTTAGATATCAGGAATAAAAATGTTCTCAGAGCAGATGCCTACATTTTTGTGTGTGTGTGTGTGTGTGTGTGTGTGTGGGGGGGGGGGGGGGGGGGGGGGGGGGGGGCTTGTTGTGTTCTTGGCCATGTTTTACTATTAAAAGACACAACCAGGGACATGTTTATGCTTGACTGAGAGTTTGAAGACAGATCTAAATAAAAGACCTACTGGAAGGAGATGAAAGGCTGGATGTAACGTCAGCTTTTATTCTCGGGAAGTCATTTCAGGACTGGACGTTGTTTTTTTTTTGTTGTTTTTTTTCTTCCATCAAGAATCTTTGTTCTGAATTCATCCTCTTACTGCTTCTTCTATGAAGGTGAAAGGCCGTGAAAGCCTGACCTCTTCATCAGCATGAGCTCTACCCTCTGTGTTGGGTCTCCCAACTCCTCCAGTTGTTGTAACACTCCTGCTTCTAGCCCAGAGACAGGAAACCAGTCGCTCACTCACAGTTAACCTAAACATGCATGTTTTTGGTGTGTGGGAGGACGTTCAGGACACGAGGCGTGCAGGTCGGATCACAGCTGACCCGTGTCACCCTGGACACCCTTTGACTCGCTCTCATCTGGCAGGAGGCTTCGGTTCATTCAGACCGCGACATCTCACCACTACAGTTTCTTCCTCTCTGCAGCTGGACTCATGAACGACAATCCTAGAACTGCCCACTCCAGTCACTTTGTTCCAGTCACCTGGTTTAGCTTCCAGTCAGGTTTTTGTAGAGCTCATTCTACTGAAACAGCTCTTCTTAGGGTCTCTAATGACCTTCTGACTCACAGTGATGCAGGGGACTGTTCTGTTCTGGTCCTGCTGGACCTGACTGCAGTCTTTAGACACTGTTGACCATCACATGCTACTGGAGAGGCTGAGAGACTGGGTAGGCCTATCAGGATCTGCTCTGGAGTGGTTCTCCTCTTATCTCTCAATGCTCCTTTTCTGTGGTCGTCTCCAAGTTTAGGTCCTCCACCACCTCCCTTACCCATGGTGTCCCACAAGGTTCTGTGCTGGGGCCTCTGCTCGTCCTCCTCTATCTGCTTCCTCTTCAGCACTTCCTGAGCTCCAGTCAACTTCAGGGTTCATTTCTAGATCCTGGTTCTGGTCTATAGGGCCTTTCATGGACAAGCACCATCTTACATTGGTGATCTTCTTAGTCCCTACACCCCCAGCAGGCCCCTGAGGTCCAGTGATCAAAGCCACCAGACTAAAGACCAAAGGTGACGGATCATCTGCTGCTGTGGCCCCCAGACTCTGGAACTCTCTCCCCCTGAGCCTGAGATCAGTGGACTCAGTGGTCTCCTTTAAAAAGCAGCTGAAGACTCACTTGTTCAAGCTGGCTTTTGTATGACCTTCTTCACCTCTCTCTCTTTATTCTGCTCTCCCCACCTATTCCACCTTCCTCAGGATCCACTGATTTCCCTTTTTCCTGTTCACTCTCTCTTAACTTTTTTAATCACAATTGTCTCTTTTTGCTCATTTTAAATATATTTTAAGCATTTTCCAAATGCTTTTTTATATTTTTTACATTTTTTTGTTCTTGTGAAGCGCCTCGTGATTTTTATCTTGAGAGGCACTATAGGAATGATATTTTCTTCTTCTTCTTTACACCTCAACTGATTCACTCAGACTTGTATAGAGTAGCCATTTCTCTAATTGCCTCTCTGTATTATTATTAATATTATTTTATTGTGCTTATTTCTAAATTTCGCTTATCTTTTTTTTGCACAAAGTACAGCAGTAATTTCCACACATATGGCAATGAAACCCTTCTGCTTCTCATTCTGAAGTCACAGCACCTGGAGAAAAACCATGCATGATGATTCTAACTGCACGCAGAGAGGACATAGCTGGGATTTGAACATGCAACCTTCTCACTGCAAGGCACAGTGCCAGCTGCTGCTCCACCACATCGAGTTGTCTTTTTTATTTTGAAGGTTACTTAGCAGCAGCTAGCTGTAGCACTTCCTGTGCAGCCTGGGCCACTTCCTGCTGGATTATCATAGTTCTTTGCTATTAACTGTCTACTATGAACATAACAGCCATATCACATTTTATAAATAACATTTATCAGAACTGCTTTAGAAATGTTTGAGGTTTAAAACTGCAATAGCATTTCTACAGAACTTTCAAATGCAAACATGGTCATGGTACTTTCACTCCTCCCCTCGGGTATCTTATCCTGGCTGCGTCCGCCGAGACCGGAAACCCAGAGTTGCCAGAGGAAACAAGATAGCGCTAAACACCAGCCGCTGTCTTTTAGGTCCAAACGTCTTTTGTTGTCCGTGACTTCAGATGGTGTTTTTCTATTTGGAACTCTGGAAGTTTGTCCTAACGTTGAAGTGGTAGCAGCCGGCTGTTTCTCCTTCTCTGTTATTACGGAACGGAGAACCTCTCACACCAGTGGTGTTCTGTTGCTAAATGCACAAGTGCGTAAAGAATGGAGGACCCAGGGAAATGCGGAAGTGCAGCAGTTCGGTGAGACTGACAGTCGGGTGGTCCAATGGTTTCTTCCGGTCCGAACCGTGCTATTGGTGGAGGTTCTTAGACGAATGCGAGAAAACCACTTCATTTATTTTTTGTAATTTTTCTAATTTCTACAATACATTTATAGCTTTAGTGTTTTCACAATTTTTATTTAAGAGTGACAGAACGTTGCGCGCTAGGATGATGTCAACAACAAAACTACCTAAAAGAGTAGACTTACCTCTTACATCAGGAAGAATCCGCACGTTTCGAGCATTCTCCGTTCTTTCATAATCCGTTGTTGAATTGTGATCGGCAGAAGCTTTTCCCGTTCGCGCCTCACTTTTTTTTACAGCAGCGGCCCAAACGATCTCCTAACACATGGATGTTCTACTTCCTGATCATGTGACGTGTGACGTATGCGGATGAAGATCGGGTTTAGAGCTGAGATGTTTATTCTCACGGTGCGGGGGCTCGTCCGACGCCCACACAGTAAAAATGCAAATTACGACATTTTTTTGTTATTCATCAGTCGATTAAAGCTAGTCTGGTTTATCCCTATTGTCCTATTCCACATATAAGGAATGAATGGCAGAATAATACATCTTGTTTAGAGCAGATCATGTTTTACCACATTATGGGATCACCTAAAGTCCATGAAGCAATTATTTCAGTCTACCGGTTGTAAGCAGAGAAGAACCACTCTTACTCTTGAGATGCAACCATTGTCGCCACTTCCTGTCTTGTTCCTGTTGTAGTGATGCTTAAACAAAGAATAATTTCAGAAGATGCCTGTCATGACTCCATTCAACAAGTGGTAACAAAGGTCTTTGTTTGATCTTTTAGGAGTTGGAGATCCTGGATATCAGCTTGATCAGGGACACAAGAACGGGAAAGTACGCCAAACAGCCAAAGGTTGGTAATGCGTCTTCAGGTTTGTGTGAGAGAGTGGGAGAGTGAAGCATCATCTCCTGCTGTCAGTCACTCTCTCCCCCATCAACAAATGTGACGATCATGTGTGTGCGTTGGCTGTATGTGTGTTTCCTCGCTTGGATGATGGTGCAAAGGTGATGGGGTGTTAATGAGTCTGCTGACAGATGGGCTGTCAGACAGGAAGTGATATAACCAGTGACTGTTGGTGAGGAAGTCAATGTGTAAGCAGATATATTTGGCCATGTTTCTATTAAAGCAGCTCATTAGGGTTGGACTATTCAAACTCTAAATATTTTGACATTAAAGAATGAGTAGATCAGTTTTGACAAGAAGATTCAAGCATTACGTGTGTATGTGTTACCGCTTTAGCAAAAGAAAAGTAACTGTGTTAGAGAAACCCTAAGTGGAGCTGAAGCTCCAGGATAGTCCTCGGTTCTCAGCTCACTTGACGTCTTGTAACCTTTGACCTTTTAAACCCATGGTATCCTCAGCACTGTCTGCAATGGATACATTAGACATGCCAAACTGTTGACTTCAAATGAACCTTTCTGATATGAAAGGTCCTGTTTTCAGCTTCAACTGTCTCTCATATCACTTTCTATGCAGATGATTCCCCAGTCTACATCAAACTAAGCTCTTCTCTCTTCCATGTCCACTAGCTCTTGCTACTCAAAGACCAAACTTCCTTTTATGTTCCTGAAATATGTCCATGGATACCAGATACTAGAACAAGAGCGTCCCTTTATCCTGTAGAAGACTACCGTAATTTCCGGACTATAGAGCGCACCTCAATATAAGCCGCACCAACAAAATAAAGGTTTTCTACACACACACACACCGCACTCGAATACAAGCCGCGGCGCAGCAGCCACATGCAGGTCTCCGGCGCACAGCGCATGTACGGCCATAACATAAGATAATTAGACAGAAAGACGCTACACGAAGGTTTTTCTTTGTTTTAATCCAACAAAACAAATTTTAAACACGGGTGAACGTGCCTGCAAGTGTAGTAAAGAAAACAGCGCTGATAGCATTCATATTTCTGGATGGTTATAAAATAAAAACAGCACTGACACGTTATTACCGGTAATTTGCATGTTTAGAAGAAAAGAACAGCGCTGACACAGCATTAATAAGCCCTGGACGATTAGAAAATAACAACTGCACACAAAACATGCCTGGTTAGTAAATAAAACACACTTGCCTCCCAGAAGAAGTCATTCTCTCTCATCTTCCTCCTGCGCTCTAAAGCCATTAAAGTCCTCTTCTTCAGTGTCAGAGTTGAACAGCCTCAGAAGAGCTTCGTCACATACCTTTTCTGTGGCGATGTCCGTGTCGCTGTCCGTGTTGCTGTCATCATCCCCGGGTGAAGCTGGCTTGAATGAGTTCTTCCCGCTGCCGTCTCCAGCACCGAACCATGGATTCATTCATGCCAAGCTTACGTGCGGCAGCACTGTTTCCTTCCTTTACTGCCAGATCGATGGCCTTCAACTTAAATGCGGCATCATATGAACTCATACGTGTAGTTACCATGATGAGGGGGTATGGATTTGAAACAAATTCTTCGTGGTGCCGGCTGCTTGCATGTGCTAAATAAAAATGAGCACTTTCTTCAATTTCCACTTTTGACTTCCACCTGTTTCACTTCCTGCTAAAGTGCCCCCTGCAGGTGGAGGAACATCTTCAGTAAAGCCGCACCTCATTATAAGCCGCATGGTTCAAAGCGTGGGGAAAAAGTAGCGGCTGATAGTCCGGAAAATACGGTAATTCCTTTAGAGAGCACCTCTTTCCCTATCCAACCTGTTCATACTTTCTAGTTCCCTATCTACTAAAAAGCTAAGTTTGATTAGATTTCTGACTCATTATCATGTGTGAACTTTTCCCGTTTCCCCCCAGAAAGCCGTTGAAGTGACACCATGTTTCAACGCATGTCAAATGGGTCATCTTTAGGATATCAAAACAAAACTACTATAGTTGAAAGCAGGTATGCAGGACTCCGTTTTTTACTCAGGAGACCCAGTGGCACTGACAGCAGTACGGAGAGCCCTGCATGCAGCCATCGGGAGGTAGCCATTGTTCAGAGAATGCCTCCCAATGCTGGTGGAAAGTTATTTAAACCATCACAGATTATGAGGTTCTCATGATCCACCTCTACCCTCTAAGTCCCACGCCCTCATTGAGGTTACAATCCTTTGTCAGGAGGAGAATAACTGACCAAAAGCAACATCCCTGGATGTTTCCACTGAGGTGCTATCTATCCAGATTTCTGGAGATCAGCTATTGTCCCTAATCCTAAAACACACGGCTGCAAACAAAATGCGTGAGTGGCACTCACTCTTAAATTCATGAAATGTGCGTACAGGAACAATGGTGCGATGCAGTATTGGCTGTCATTCTCCCTCCTCTTCACACCGGCTGTCCTCAGGGGTATGTCCCAAGCCCCCACCTGAACTCACTACTTACAAATAATTTCTCCATGAGATCAGAATCGTGTTTTGGTTTATGTTTGAAACGCCAACAACAAAAAGTGCACGCGCATGAGTTGTTCCTACAACCGACTGCATGAATGTTTGGGTTTCAGAAGCTGTGCTCTAATTTGCTTATTCATCACCCTTTAGTGGTCTTTACACAAATCCTCAGCTGAGTGCAGAACAGGTTTGAGCTGCCACCAGAAACTTGGACAGTAAAGTTTTTCCTTTATGCTCCGCTTTTAAATGGTGAAGTCAGGCAGGCACTAAGAGTGAACTATTATGGTAACACCTACATGTAAGGACTGAAAACTTGTAGGCACTTTGCTGCGTTGTGAGTAGCAGTGTGGACTTGCTTTTTTTTTTTAAGTAAAATGCATAGGAGATCATTTAAATGCACAGCTATAGACAGTTGTATCCGCGGGTCCTTAAAAAGTCTTAAAAAGTCTTAAATTTGCTTTTCCAAATTTAAGGCCTTAAAAATACTTAAAAATTACTAATAATCCTTAAATACAGTTTCCAAAGGTCTTAAATGACCAAAGACCCAATAAACAAGATTATTTTATTTCAATTTTCATGAATTTCTAGTTAGTGTTCAGCATTTTTTGTGTACGATGTTGGCGTAAGTGGAACCATACACATTCAGTTGGTTATGAAAGGGGGCTTTTTTAGATGAGCACATTAGCTGTTTAAGTAGTGGGAGATTGCACCATGGGGTCGTGCAACTTTTATGGTAATGGATGGCTAGTCACACTTTCGCAACGTGGTTAGCACCGGTTCCAGGCAATAGCTGGAAATTATAGTTTAAATTTAATTTTAAAAAATAGCTTAAATTTGGTCAAAGTGGCCTTAAAAAGGTCTTAAAAAGTCTTAAATTTGGCTCCCTTAAACCTGCAGATACCCTGTATAGAGATATTCTGCTGGTGAGTTCAGTGCTAAGTTTGCGTTAGCATGCATTTGATTGCCCCTGCAGCTTCATTTCTATTTTTATTGGCTTTCATTTGGATTCTACTGTAGTTATATGTGTCTCAGAAAAACACCAGTCACTTCTTATTTTCCATGTGTAATTAGATGAATTAAACTTCAGCGTTTCAAAGAGAGCTTTAGTTTTGAGTACATTTCTCTACAGGTGAAACATCATTTCATGTTCTGGATGAACGGAACTTGTCCCAGGCAGCAGAGAGTAGGAATACATTGCATGTGAAAGTGCAACAAGACTTTCTGTCATATTTTGTTCTCAAATTTGAATAACTGGTTCATTCAACCTTTAATATCTTTGCATTTGTCCAGCCAGCTGTAATGCGCCGAAGCTCCAAAAGTCACCATAACAACTGGATTGAAAATAGGCTATCTGAGTTTTCTATGTATGCATGTATGTGTGTAGTATGCGTAACGCACTTTGTCGTTGAAGTTTCTCTGAGACATGATGGAACTAATTATTTAAAATTGAGAGATGGACTGAATATTTGAGTTAGTCTCTGGCTCAGATGGAGGACAGCATCATTTAGTTATTTGGTTTAGTGCCATGAACCACTTGGATCACATTTACAGCTCTCACGAGAGACAATTTTATTTCCTCATTGTTAAGGTGACAGTGTGTAATTTTCCTGGCGATGGGGGCAGTAGATACCTAAATCGTTGCAATTCAGCAATATTTTCGTGTTGGAGTAAGACCTTACCAACCCATTAGGATCAAAAAGCCCTGGGGAGTGCTAATTTTAGCAAGATAATAAGCACATCAGACTCCCTATCATCACTGGCAACAAGCGAAGAGGTAAATATGTAAAACAACAACATTTAAGAACGACAAAAGTTTTGTAACCGTTTGTTACAAATCAGTAAAAGCATTGTGTCCTCATGGGCTGCTGTAGATGGAAACATGGCATCTAATATGGCGTCGCCCAGAGACTTAGGGTGTTTCTCAGTGCCAAGGAACCTTGATGTCTTGGCCCCGCCCCGGTTGCCTAGGAGATACGTCATCGGGAGCCGCCAAGACGTGTTCCAATGTTCATGTTCTACCGAGGCGTGTGTTCTCCGTTTGTTAGCCGTTTAGCTAGCTGAGCGAGGATATCCAGGAGGTGTCTTGTAGCCTAGCCTTGGTCAAAAATTACCCAGAATACACCGCAGTACTTTCAAAAGGACGGCAGATCAGAAGCCGGCAGCTACTTCGAGGGCAAATTTCAAGTTTCAATATAAGTCAACTAATTTAAAATGGTTTTTTTTTAGATCTATTGTTGGTTAGTTGCTTAGTAGTTGCAGCTTTGGAGGCTAGCGGGTAGTAACTCGCTTATATATTTAATTTAACAAATATATACACAACTTTAAAAGTAAAAGGCTCGTTATAGATTTATATTGAAACTAATACGTATAAAATATAACGTTATCTCCCGTGTCACGTGACGTTACGTGACCGCCGTGGAAGCCGCGGTCACGTGATGCAAATCTGTTCCATTTAACCGTTTTCTTTGGCCAAGGAAGGACAGTGTCCTCGTAAGCAAGGCGACGGCCTCGCACGACATCGCCTCACAAGGCCAGGTGACCTTGGCGTTGAGAAATACCCTTAGACCCGCTCCCATGTATTTTAGACCTGATTTTTATGGTTATATGTTACGAAGCCGCAAACATTTTTCTACAAGTGGGCATCATTTCATTCATTTTCAACAACATTTCGATGGCTATTTCCAGAAATTAATCGTAAAAACTACACATTGTCTCTTTAAAACAAATGTTGAATTCATGGTTTCTCTGTCACCTGAGGTGTTCTGGTTTCTGTTCTTCTATCAGCAAAAGACGTTGGACCTAATCCCCAGCAGAGACGAGAACGACAATTTGCTCACCATTGTCTATGGCACTGACCTGGTCAACGTCACCTTCTACAACTTTGTTGCTCTTGAGCTTAACGTAGCAAAGGTAACCCTGAGAACCAACACTCTGTACCGTCCTTCCCGTTGGTCCTCGTTCCAGTGCAGTTAGCCTTTAGACACAAGGCTCACTTCACAATGTTGACACATCGCCATGTTTATGTTTGTGAGTTGTAAAGAGGGATTAATTTCTGTGCGTGCTTCATGTTACAACAGCTCGGTTTTAACACCAAAATCAGATAATTCTGTTTTGTCTTCAGCTTTGGGTAGACCAGCTCTTCGAGATGGCTACAAATAAACTTTCCCAAAATGCCTCACGGACCACCTACCTTCGCAAAGCGTAAGACGCGTGTCCCTTGTCCATTTGTTTCACAGGCTGTGGATGTTTTAAATGAAATGAGTTGTTTTTTTCTGTTTCAGGCACACTAAACTAACGCTTCAGGCCATAGATGGAAAGATTCCTCTGAAGAAGTGAGTAAAAAGTGACTTCTCAACTCTGTGCAGGATTTTAAATCTACTTCGACTTTCTTTTCCACTTTTTGGTTTCTCTCTTGTTCCCTTTTTATTTCAGCCAAGTGTTAACCTTGCTTTCCTGTCGTTCAGCCTTTTCACACATTTTTCAAGTAGTGGATTATTTAACAGTGTGACTGATCTAAGAGAACCTTTTTGTCTTTCAGTATTTATAAGATGTTTTCTGATAGAAAGCGGGTGGATTACGCTCTGGACAAAAAGGTAATATTTAAATACACTTTCACATGTAAAGGATTACTTCATGTCTCTAACTCATTATGGGTACTGTGTTAAGTTGCAATCATGGCTCACTTTTGCACTGATAATGATAAATGATCCATACTTGTATAGCGCCTGTCAGGGTCTCCAAAGTGCTTTATACTACAGTGAATTATTCATCCATTCACATGCACCAACAGGCAATTTGGGTTAAGTGCCTTGCCCAAGGGCAGCAGAATTATCTGTTGTGTGCCGGGTTTAAACCTACAACCCGCTCTACTTCCTGAGCTACTGCTGCCCATACATCTATATAGAGGACAGGGCACGATTGAATAGCATGCTTCCATCTGATGTCAGCAAACATCTGATTTCCTTGGTCAGTGGACTCAAATGGTCTATGGAACTAGGATTGGGACACTATTACATTTAACTGACACCATGTTTTGTAACACAAAACTTTAGTTTTGTAACATGTAATTTCGGTACATAACATGAAACTTTTATTTTGTAACTTGCAGAAAAAAATCAATGCACAAATTTCAAATCACAACTTTCAAGCACACATCTCAGTCTACAAGTACAAAACATTTTGTCCCAATTCTAGCTTGCTTCCCACAGGAATTGTCTTCGACAGAAATCCAAGACTTATGATTGGCTGGTCAGACAAAGCCTGTCGTTGGTTCTTTGGGAAGCAAGCTAGAATTGGTACAAAATGTTTTCTACTTGTAGACTTGAGTTTTGTAACTGTAGACTGAGATTTGTGTTTTGAGAGTTGTGATTTGAAACTTGCACATCGATTGTTTTCTGCAAGTAAAAAAATGAAAGTTTCATGTTGCGTGCCAAAAGTTACGTGTTACAAAACAAGGGGTGTTTCTCAATGTCACGGCGATGTCTTGCGAGGCCGCGTGCCTTGCTTATGAGGACACTGTCCTTCCTTGGTCAAAGAAAACGGTTAAATGGAACAGACTTGCATCACATGACCGCGGCTTCCACGGCGGTCATGTAACGTAAATATATAACGAGCCTTTTACTTTTAAAGTTGTGTATATATTTGTTAAATTAAATATATAAGTGAGTTACTACCCGCTAGCCTCCAAAGCTGCAACTACTGAGCAACTAACCAACCATAGAAAACTTCTTTGGATCTAAAATAAACATTTTAAATTAGCTGACTTACATTTAAACTTGAAATTTGCCCCTGAAGTAGCTGCTGGCTTGCGATTCGCCGCCCTTTTGAACATAAGGTGGTGCATTCTGGGTAATTTTTGACCAAGGCTAGGCTACAAGACACCTCCCGTGTATCCTCACTCAGCTAGCTAAACGGCTAACAAACGGAGAACACACGCCTCGGTAGAACATGAACATTGGAACACGTCTTGGCGGCTCCCGATGACGTATCTCCTAGGCAACCGGGGCGGGGCCAAGACATCAAGGCGAGGCTCCTTGGCATTGAGAAACACCCTAGAAATGCATGCTACAAAATAAAAGTAACAGTTACAAAACCTGTTGCAAGTTATAAAGCTTAAGTTACATGTAATATTGTCTCAATCCTAGTTCCATAATTGTCCCCATGCATTCCGGTGCTATCGTAGACATCAAGTTAACCCCTCCCCCTTTTTAAAGTTATAGCTGCTAGCCAAAAATCTAAATAATGCGTGACTCAAAAAACTTCAGGAACACTTTATTGGGTGACTGGTGTTTATATGCACCCTTTTGAAGCTGAAACTGAAGCATGTTTGATGCAAATCGAGGTCTAAGTGGAACACAGCTCATTAAGACAGAGCTTGTTCATGATTATCAGCTGTTCTCTTCCTGGTGTTTTTCATCACAAGCTCCACTAGGTTCTGTTCCAGGTTGGACGTGCTGAGGGTTTGCTAGTGTTTTATATTGTGCGACGCAACAAGGATGTAAAATTTAAATTTTTATTGAGTATGGCAGTTTCATATGATGTCTTAGTTGTGTGCTAGTAGACTGGTGGTGTCACAAGTCCCATAAACCCATCACACCAAATGTCTGAAGTTGTCTTCAGTATCACAATATGACTTTGTAGATTGTCTGAAAATCCAGTCACTATTTTTCATCTCCAAACAATCATGTGATTTTTAATTGGTCGCCAGTGTAGTTAACAACAGACAGCCAGACAGACAGATGGAGACAGACAGTTTGTATGTGTAGAAGAATCAGTGCAATCTGAACTTAAGATCAAATTGCTGTCACATTCTTTTTAGACAAACCAACGTGGGTTGTTTTTCCTCCCAATGTTGTACCTTGGCGCCTCCTGCTGGACACATGAAAGAACAGATTAAAATTTGCATGGAGCTTCAGTGAAACCCATAAAATACCTTGAAACCTTGTAGAGGTGCTGAAAAAAATCGATTCAAGTCTGAATCGGGATTCTTATTTACAAAGTTTCAGAATCGATTCCAGGAACTCAAATATTTGGCACGTTACAGGTTTGAGATGCACTTTTTTGATCTTTGTTAGGAGAGTCAGTACTCCGTTTACTTTTGTGCTCCCATAAATTGAGATGATTTATGTTTGAATCTGCTGATAAGAGGGCACTTGAATGTAATTGTTTCTATACTCAGAAATTTGAGATATTCTCATTTATTTTCTAAGTTGATAAATGAGTACTCAGGATTACTCCTGTAACTTGTTTCTACACATACTTGAAAAGTATTTGACCGTATTACTTTCAAAGTTACTGTTAGGTAGCTACAGATGTGTTATATTTTACAAGGTAAACAAAAATAAATGTTGCCTTTTGGTCAAAAGATTGTTTCCGTTTACAGTTTTAGAATCACTTTAGTTTACCTTATAAATTAGCTTTTTTTGGAGCATGACCAGTTTAAAGTCAAATAAAAATGTCCCATAGCTTTAACTAACTTGTACAACAAAGTAGTTCATCCTGGAGCTGACACTCTTTGTTTATATTGATTGCGAATCGATTTAAATCGAGAATCGATTCTGAATCGAATCGGCACCCCAAGAATCGGAATTGAATCAAATCGTGAGTTGCTCTGAGATTCACATCCCTACTACCGTGTATTTAAAACATCTTTTTACAAGGATGTTAAGTGTAAGTTTGGAATTGAATAACTACATGATTGGAACTCCAGTCACACCCAAACCTGATTACTAGCCTCCATCAACCTGCACAACCCCCCTGCTCGTCTTATCACCATGGGAAGTCGAGCATTCAGCAGGTCTGCCCCTCCCTCTGGAATTTATTACCCGCTGGACTCAGAAACACCACTACTCTTCACCATTTCAAGGCTCCAAACTCACCTGTTCAAACTGCCTTTTCCCTGTGACTGTACTTTGTGTTTTACCTCGGTTTCATATTTACTAGTTATTCACTGTAATTATTGTTCCTCTGTGTTTCAAACGTTTTACTTCCCTTGGATTTTAAGAAAGGCGCTCCAAATAAAATGTATTATTATTATTAGTAGTAGTAATATTAGAATTAGGAATAGCTTCAATTGAACCTGTCTGAAAACATGAAATAGGCTAAAAGATCTCAAAAACCAACTCATAATTTCCTGTTTTGATCAAATGCTAATAAAAAAAATACTTGTTTTATATTAAAGTCTGTTTTATATTAAGTCACTCTTAAGTGACTCTTCTCATACTTAAGGGAGATATCCTGAGCACCAGTGACATAAAACTGGACATTTTAGGTGTTTATGTTGTTTTTCTTTTCCTTCTGTTTGGTGTCACAATCCTGTCTGTCGTCTGTCAGCACGTGACGGCTATAAATCTTGAGGAATTTACGTGGGACTTTTTCACTGGCTTTCTTGACAAAGCTTGTGGACGGCCTGAACTCCAAACAATCCTTGAGGAGAGGTATGACAAAACTGGCTTTTCATTAACATTGCTCCATGTGGCCCTACTGAGGAATACGTCTTTCAGAAGAGGATGGATGGATGGATGGTTGGTTGGATGTTACGTTGGTTGGATTTATGGATGTTTGGTTGGTTGGTTGGTTGGTTGGATGTTTGGTTGGTTGGTTGGTTGGTTGGATGTTTGGTTGGTTGGATGTATGGATGTTTGGTTGGTTGGATGTATGGATGTTTGGTTGGTTGGATGTATGGATGTTTGGTTGGTTGGATGTACGGATGATTGGTTGGTTGGATGTATGGATGATTGGTTGGTTGGTTGGTTGGATGTATGGATGTTTGGTTGGTTGGTTGGTTGGTTGGATGTATGGATGTTTGGTTGGATGGATGGATGGATGGTTGGATGGATGTTTGGTTGGTTGGATGTATGGATGTTTGGTTTGTTGGTTGGATGTATGGATGATTGGTTGGTTGGTTGGATGTATGGATGATTGGTTGGTTGGTTGGATGTATGGATGATTGGTTGGTTAGTTGGATGTATGGATGTTTGGTTGGTTGGTTGGATGTATGGATGTTTGATTGGTTGGTTGGTTGGATGTATGGATGTTTGGTTGGATGGATGGATGGTTGGGTGGATGGATGGTTGGATGGATGTTTAGTTGGTTGGATGTATGGATGTTTGGTTGGTTGGTTGGATGTATGGATGTTTGGTTGGTTGGATGTATGGATGTTTGGTTGGTTGGTTGGTTGGATGTTTGGTTGGTTGGTTGGATGGATGTATGGATGTTTGGTTGGTTGGTTGGATGGATGTATGGATGTTTGGTTGGTTGGATGTATGGATGTTTGGTTGGTTGGATGGTTGGATGGATGTATGGATGTTTGGATGGATGGATGGATGGATGGATGGATGGATGGATGGATGGATGGATGGTTGGATGGATGTTTGGTTGGTTAGATGGATAGATTGCTTGCTAAGAACTGTATTTATCCTGCTGAATCCTTAATATTAGCCCTTATATAACCTTTACATTTTCTAATGTTTCTGGTGTTTGAGCACAAAAAAATGCACAAACAAAACTTTCTATAGAAATATTATATAATATTTAATATGTCCCAATGTTTACATGAATTTCATCCTTGGCTTCAGTTATTACAAAATATTATTTGAAAAATGTATGTTTCTGAGATTTAACCCCTTTATTGCCATGCTTATTATGATCAGTACCAGAATTGTGAAAAAAGGTTAAAAAAAATTCTAAATCTGTTCATTTTTTGTGTTTTATGTTCAGATGACCTGTTTTGGGGTTATCTGTCAGTCTTGGAGTGTCACAAATAGGCGTAAAAACATTTTTTTGCTCACTTCATAGTTTTTGTGTAATTTTTTAGTTTAAAAAAGTCACAATTTGAACCTTACTGCAAAAAACAAAAATGCAGACACCATACTTCCTCATAAGATACTTCATAGCTCCCAAATTCTTCAGTATATTTGCATTCCTGATATTTAACCCTTTTATTTCCCCCTTTATTGTCAGGTGCATGATCATAATCAGAAATGTAAACAAATGAAAAAATATAAACTTGTTTGTATGTTATGTCCAGATTAGGGATGGGTACCTTTGACATTTGAGTGTTTAATAGTTTAATTCTCTTTTATAATTAAATATATATTTTTCTCAATATAAAACCATATTTGATAAATATCACGATAAATAACATACAACTGTTTGTATTTTAACATGGTCCTTGTAGTTTTATAAGCTGATAATTAAACTGAAGCAAACATCTTTACTGTGAACTAAATTTACTGTGTATCTTCATTCCTTTTGCCATCCTTTTTCATTTGATTTTTCCTACTGAGAAGTTAGAATTTCCGAGGAGAAAGCGAACGCACCATTAGCTGATAACAATGGTGGCAATGGAAGCTAACATATCAAGCTAACGTTATCTTAAACAGTTTATTTAGCTGCTGGAGCAGATTAAAACGATGATGCCTCACACTTACATCGTTGTCGCTGGTTTCATCTTCACCCAATCACCCGTCGCATTTAGTAAAGTGAAGCCAAACTTTAGAGCGCGTTCATGTTCTTCTAGTCGGAAATTTAGAGTTCCGTGGAGAAAGCGAACGCACCATTAGCGAAACGGAAGCTAACAAATCAAGCTAACGTTATCTTAAACATTTTATTTACCTACCGGAGCAGATTAAGATGAGGATGTCTCACTTAGATCGTTGTCGCTGGTTTCATCATCACCCAGTTACCCATCACATTTAGTGAAGTGGACCCAAGCTTTAGCGTGCGTTCTTTCTACCATGCTGCTCTGTTTACAACTCGCTCGCAGCGACGGATGACATAACGCTCTTGCGCATGCGCAGCTGTCTAGGCAAGTTCTCGTTATGAAGGATGGGTACCGAAACGAGGCACCGTTTCAAATGACGTGAATCGGACAGTCGGTACTATGGAATTTGGTCGGTACCTGAAAAAGTACAGAATTCGGTACCCATCGCTAGTCCAGATGATTTGTTTTGTGGGCAAATTTTCAACACATTGGAGTGTCATGAATGGGCATACAAATATTTTCATTCAGCTTATTTTCTTTGAATGCAGCATTAGTTATTGCCTCGGTATACATAGGGAAAGTGCGCAATCTAGTGGAAAACATTAAAAACTCCAAATTGAGTCTGCAACCGGCCTGGGAACCCAGACAGACAAAAGATTATGGTGATATTTTTGCTCATTAGAAAAATAAGGATTTACATGGAAGTCAATGGCACAAAAACATGCACCAACACCAGTAACGTTACAAAACTTTTTAACCGTTGTATTGAATGGAGAACAGCAATTTTTCTCATTTGTTTTTTGTAATTCCCCCCAAAACACACAACCTCCCAATAAATTAGATAAACTGCACTAGCATAGCCAAAGTTATTCATAAAAACACACCTGTCTGCACAAAAACATGCACTAAGGACATTATTAGAGCTGTTGCTGTAATGTTAGGAGTCCTGCACACACTCACTAGTTGATAAACATTTGTCTTCTCTGAAGTGGTTCCAGGAACAAACCATTTATCACTTTGGACCAGTTCACAACCTTCCTCAACACTAAGCAGCGCGACCCCAGGCTGAATGAGGTGTTGTACCCTCCGCTGAAAAAGGAGCAGGTCCGACAGATCATGGAGAACTACGAGAGCCCAAGCCACCTAGACAGAGGTCAGAAACGCTTTATTAATTATTCATCACTCACCGAACTACTGGCAGGTTGTGACCTTCATGTAAGAGATGTTTCCCCAATAAGTGACTTAAACAACAGCAGCATGACATTGAAACACACTGCAAAAAAGGATTTATAAGAAAGTTTAAACATTACATTTCAGACATTTTACCTCTAATTTCTGTTTTATAAAATCATAGAAAGCTGCATTACTTAAAATAAGGTAAATATTCTTAAAAATGATCCAGCTCTTCTTGTTTTGAGTAAAAGAGTCAATTCAGTTTGTTTATATAGCGCCAAATCACGATGAGCCGTCTCAAGGCACTTCACAAATTAAAACGTCCCAGTTGAGTCCAGTTCCTTATGCCAATTTAAAGGTTTCCTATGTAAGACTGCATCAAGTCACTGACTTGTTGTGTCAGAGTCTTTACAGCAGTCCTCATGCTAAGCAAGCATGTAGCGACTCTGGAGAAGAAAAGTCCCTTTTACCAGGAAGAGCCCTCCAGAGAATCCTGGCTCAGTATAAGTATGAATATCAATCAATCAATCAATCAATCAATCAGCGTTTATTTGTTTAGCACTTAATCGTGCAATACATGCAACTCAAAGTGCTTAACAAATTAAAAAGGCCCCGCATGCCCTCCCATCCCCAGAATTTTTAAAAACAGTCTGACAATAAAAAACCCTTCACAACACTCATCCTCCGGCACACGCACGCACGCACACACACACACACACACACACACACGCACGCACGCACGCACGCACGCACGCACACACACACACACACATGCATACATGCCCCCTTCCCCATGGTAAAAAACACGATTGACTGAGATCAGATGAGCCAGACCACAGATCCACAGCAGCAGCTGAGGCACTGACACAGGGCATCCAAGGCAGGGAGGGCAGAGACCCCCCCCCCCACCTCCACCTAGGCACACCTGGAAAGCACCCAGGCCACCACAGCCGACCACCGCCGCCGGGGCAGAGGGCTCCCACAGAGAAAGCACTGGAAAAAGGTTAAATCAGGGTTAAAATATAAAATCAAAAGAGCTAAAATGAGAATTGTAATATAAAAACTTATATAGATATTAATAGCAAACTAAATCAAATTTTTTTTTGCTTTTGCTAGTTTTAGGACTTCTAGCTAAGCAACTATTGCTTACCCCATTAGCAGGAAAAGAGAATCTGGATCCTAATTGAGAACATTTACCTTATTTTAACTCATGCTTTTTCATCTAGTGAAGAATTTGTTTCTTTTCAGACTAAAACTAAGACAAAATGTCTAAATACTAGTGTGTGTGTGTGTGTGTGTTATGTTTTTATTTACTTTCTTATAAATCAATTTTTTCAGTGCAGTTCTGAGTGTGATTTAGTTTTCTCTCTCTTGCAGACCAGATCAGTCTGAAGGCTTTCAGTAACTACCTGGCAGGAGAGGAAAACAACATTGTACCTCCAGAAAAGCTCGACCTCATGGATGATATGAACCAACCGCTGTCTAACTACTTCATCAACTCCTCCCACAACACATACCTCACTGGTAAAAGCCTTCGTAATGCCAACTCTATCATGCTGCAGTTATTTCTTCTGCGTCTGATCCTGATTGGAATTTGTCTGCTGTTCTTTAGTGGGTCAGTTGACTGGCATGTCGTCGGTGGAGATGTACCGGCAGGTTCTGCTGACCGGCTGCCGCTGCATCGAGCTGGACTGTTGGAAGGGCCGATTGCCAGATGAGGAGCCCTACATCACCCATGGGTTCACCATGACCACCGAGATCTCATTCAAGGTGGAACACAGAACTTTATTCGTCACACTGTCCCTTAACATTCATGGACTCAGCCGTCTTTACTCGCGACGGGGAAGCCTGTTGTTGGTTTAGCGACCAGGTAACAGCAGAGAACCTCTCAGCTAGTAGAAGCTAACCATTAGCATTAGCAACTCCACCACACAGCAGAAATCCTTGTGTTGTAGGTGAAGATAAACTATCACTGTTGCAGAGCAAATAGTCAGTTAACCAGTTGCTGTTAACCAATCAGAGTACTGCCACTTTATCGTCCAGCTAACTTTGTCGACCTTAAACAGGAGCACCAGAGCTTTTTTTCTCTAAAGACTTACCAGGCATTCATTCCTATTAGAGAACGCTGCAAATATATTAAAATGTGAGAAAAGGACCTTTTTAAATAGTTCTTGAAAAAGAAACTCAATATAAAGGTTTTCTGAATTTTATTTCCACACATTTAGACCATTCTGTAGTTTGGTGATAGTTTCTTCTTGTAAACTGTAAACTCTCATAGATAAAAGGCAAAAGAACATTCCTCTCCAACTGCAGAAGCAGGAATCACATTTTGCGTAATTTTGGTGGCTCATTATTCAGTTTCGGCACAGTTTGTACTCAGAAAATCAATTTTCCCCCATATTTATTAACTAGAAATAAAACATTTTCATACTTTTCCTGTAATTTAACATTTAACCACCTGTAGTAACAGCTAGAGGCACACCAAGAAGTTTTCCGGCCATCAGAGTTGGCAAATATTCAACATGGATCAGCTGAATCAAAAATCTGATTTTTTTTTTTTTGGTCTTTGAATGCATCACTGCTACAGCAACACAAACAGTAACTGGTTCATTAATCATGCAAGGAGATGCCGCGGACGGATCACAAAACAACGATTCCTGTTGATTATTTCACTCTGACATCACCTGGTATCTGCAGGTCGAAGCTGTTTTCTTGTTAGTCCACTTTAGCCTGTCCCTCTCTCCTCCCGACTACAGGAAGTCCTCGAGGCCATAGCAGAATCAGCTTTCAAGACCTCAAACTACCCCGTCATCCTGTCCTTTGAAAACCACGTGGACTCGTAAGTGCTCTCCATAATCATCCCCGGGGTATTATTAAAGGGTTCAAATGGAAGAATCTCAGCCTAGAGGAGTTAACAATGCTAATCTCTAAGATTTCATATGGAGCCTAAGTCACGCCCACCTACTTCCGGGACCACGGGTCCTCGGAAGAATGAAAAAATTAATCCAAGTCAACGGGCTAAAAACACTATTTTCTAATTCCGCTTGTTGTGCCATGGATTTCACACATGATGTTGGTGAATTTTAAAGAAGCATTTTGATACCAAGAACGCACTTATTTTTGCAAGGGGGAACGCCATTTAAAATTTTGTGTGAAAATAAGTCCAGGACTACAGATGCGCTTAACGAAAGTGACGTCATCGAACCAGACACGGAGAAAAACAGACAGAAAATGGCTGTAAGTTCAGCAAACTTCCCACAGGAGGAAAGAACCACCATAAATCTGGTCATGTGGTATGTAGCGGCTACGCTAGGGGGGAGGAGATTATGTGGTGACGTCACATATGCGACGTGCCGATTTCTGGTGTGTAGTCATGCTAATTATGAACTTTTACAAGCTGATAAATCTCAAAGTACGTGACAGGCGCGGTCGAAACACCCATCATTACTTTTCATTTAAATTGCAGTAGAACATATGTGTGATCCAGGGCGTAAGGCAGAGCGGGTTAGAAAAGAACTCTTTTAGCTCCGTTGACTTGCATTCATTTTTTCATTCTTCCGGGACCCCATGAGCCGACCGGAAAGGGAGGAGACTTAAGCCGGGCGTACTATGTGTGACTTTTTCACTTTTTTGAGCCGATTTTCCACTCGTGCGAGAATCCACAAGATCGGGACGAGTTTTGCGCCGAGCATCGTGTAGTGTACAGGGGGTTACGAGAGGCGATTAACACCACGTGACCAGCTACCGATCCGCAATCGTGAGCTCACACGGACTTCTGGAGTGTTTGGTATTTTGCTCGTTCCTCGTGAGGGTATCGCACTGTTGAAGCAGCGCAGCGAGCGGCTGCAACCCAAAAAATACCAGAACCGTTCACGGTGCATGCGCATGCATCAACACAGCTCGCCTGCTATTTCCCGAATAACACACGTTGTTCGTTTTATTTCTAAACGTTGTTTTTACTCACAGTGACAAGGATTGTCAAGAAAGCGTGTTTGTCGTGTTCATGTCAAATTAAACTGATCGCAAAACACAGATTTACTTTCTTTATTTCGTTTCCTCATCCAACCCCCATAAATCCCTGTGTGTCCTCCTGCAGCACTCCCGAAGGACAACAGGCAAAACAAGACAAAAAAGTCTGACGTGTTGAGTAAAAACTGCTATTTTTAGCATATTTTTAGGGCCGACGTGTTGCTACCAGACGTACAGTGTGAGCAGTCAGGTCGCATCCAAGAACTGGGTCGTGCAGTGTGAGCACATGACTCGTGAGATCTGCCCTGCGAGGACGTCGTACAGTTTGAGCTGAAGCTGAGTGCTACGAGTGAAAAAGTCACACAGTGTCCGCCCGGCTTAAGGCTCCCTATAGAGGTCACACTACAACAATTTTACAAATCTTTATCAGTTTTACATTACTTGGTTATTAGATACAAGAGAATTTGTGGGTATTTTTGGATGAAACGAGCTAGCGATAGCATTTTTGCTCCCAAACAGAATGTTGTCACATGTTTGCTGGAATAACATGAATTTATGGGAGACTCGAGAGGTAATCCACTTGAGTATCAGACCTTGCTGTGACTAGCCGTTAGCTCAAAGTACGTGACTGGCACGGTCGAAACACCCAAGAAAATGTCGGAAAAGGGTAGAATGCTTTCTCCGGGTCAGGGATGAGGTCCTGTCTCAAGTGGAGGAGTTTAAATTTCTCAGGTCTTGTTCATGAGTGAGGGAAAACTGGAGCGTGAGATCGATAGGCGGATTGGTGCTGCGTCTGCAGTGAAGCAGGTGTTGTACCGATCTGTCGTGGTGAGGAGAGAGCTGAGTCAGAAGGCGAAGCTCTCGATTTACCGGTCGATCTACGTTCCTACCCTCACCTATGGTCATGAGCTTTGGGTAGTGACCGAAAGAACGAGATCGCGGATACAAGCGGCTGAAAGTATTTTTATCTGCAGGGTGTGTGGGCTCTCCCTTAGAGACAAGGAAGCTCGGTCATCTGGGAGGGGCTCAGAGTAGACCTGCTGCTCCTCCACATTAAGAGGAGCCAGTTGAGGTGGCTCGAGCATCTAGTTAGGATGCCTCCTGGACGCGTCCATGGTTAAGCTTTTTGGGCACGTCCAACTGGAAGGAGACCTAAAGTAAGACCCCGGACATGTTGGACGGACTGTGTCTCTCAGCTGGCCAGGGAGCGCCTTATTCCCCCGAAAGAGCTGGCCCAATTGGCTGGAGAGAGCAAAGTCCGAGCCTCTCTCCGGATAAGCAGAAGAGAATGGATGGATGTAAACAAAATAGGTTTTTAAATTTTAATCTAAAATCTTGGAATACTTCCTGCATACCTTTTGATTTCTTCTGAGTGGTCCTAACATTGTCTGTCATTCTTAACAGGAGCATTTGCTTTTAAACTTTTACCCTTAAATTGGTGAAATAGAACTTACCATGATCTCTGGTGTAAAACAAGCTATCATTTCAGACCCACCCAGCAGGCTAAGATGGCGGAGTATTGCAAGACGATCTTCGGAGATGCGCTGCTTATCAATCCACTGGAAAAATTCCCGGTAAGGATCGTGGTTGGCACTGTGACATTAAAGCATCAAATTAGGGATATCCCGTTCCGATATCAATATCGGAAGTAATTCGATATCGTCCCAAAAACAGTGTATCGGATTATATCAGACGGCATCAAAAATCTCCGATATAAGCGGTTCGTTAAGGTTCACATTTTTGAAACCAATGGTTAAGAAAGAATAGTCATTTCTTTCATACTCACTATTATTGGCTCTTGTTCTTTGAGTAATATCACCTGATCAAGCCTTTCATACATTCCAAACTACGAAATATGTAAAAGTATGTATGATTTGTGCTGATATCATATTGGATTGATATCTGTATCGGTCAGTACTGAAGGCTGAAATATCGGTATCGTATCGGAAGCAAAAAAGTTGTATCGGGACATCCCTACGTCAAATATATAATTAGTTACTGAAGCAGCTTTGTTTAACGCCTCGCTGTGGTACTCTCTTCTGGTTGAAACTACCATTTTCTTCATCCTACGTGATTCCTTTAGCTGGTCCCAGAACAGCCACTTCCTTCACCGCAGGACTTGCTAGGAAAGATCCTTGTTAAAAACAAGAAGAAACCCGATCTGTCCGTAAAGTCCCTGGAAGAGGCGGGACTCAAAGGTGAGAAAGTTCTGCACTAGGATGGGAATAAGGGCCTTTTCACATTGCGCATTAATTAACCACATTCACATTTACAATCACTGATTTCAGCTGGACTCATAAACAATGTTGTCTGTCGTCTTTATCCCATCTTATTAGAGCTGGAACCAGAAAGTGAAGAAGAGGACACTGAAGAAACAGCCGCGGAAATGAACAAGCCTTATTCTGATGAGGTAAGAGACCTCGAGGATGGTTGATGCTTGATGTTGCACAGGCTAACTGATGGCTTCATGCTGTTGGCGTCCCTCAGGGTACCGCCTACCGAGAGGTCATTGCCACAAAGGAAATGTCGACTCTCGTCAACTACATCCAGCCTGTTAAGTTCAAGTCTTTCAATGATGCAGCCAGTGAGTGTGCTCAGTGAGAAGGAAGACTAAAAGATGCTTGTCTCACATGCACTACTAGATACATTAGCTTGTTTCTTGTTTTCCAGAAAAGAAGAGGTTGTATGAGATGTCTTCGTTTGTGGAAACTAAAGCTATGGACTTGCTGAAGAACTTCCCTTGCGAGTTTCTGGAGTATCCTAAGAAGCTTTTAATTATTTCATAGTTCCTTCTGTCATAGGACACTTAATTGAAATAGATTTTAAACCATTAAATCAGACAAAGACGGGCATGTCTAAAGTGCAGCCCGGGGACCAGGTTCTTGTTCCGAGCAGCTGATATGAACTTAATTCGGCTATGTTGAAGGTAACTTGGCTCAACGTTAGAAATAAGGGGCCATCATCGTGGGTGGGGGTGCTTCTGATCAGGATGCCTTCTGGTCACCTGTGTCAATGCTTAACAGTACTTCTCCAGATACAACAAGAAACAGCTGAGTCGAATCTACCCCAAAGGAACTAGGGTGGACAGTTCCAACTACATGCCCCAGCTCTTCTGGAATATTGGTTGCCAGATGGTTGCGCTAAACTTTCAGACTCCTGGTATGAGCGAACAAAGTTCCAAGCTTTAGTGATCGAATAAATAAGCTGCCTACTGATTTCAAACAAATGTTAATCTTTCTTTCAACAGTGTTTTTCCCTCCTTTCCTCCCATTCAGATCTTCCCATGCAGTTAAACATGGGGGTATTCGAGTACAATGGCCGCAGCGGCTACCTGCTAAAACCTGAGGTCATGAGACGGACGGATAGACAATTCGACCCTTTCACAGACAGTATAGTGGATGGAATAGTGGCCAATGCGTTCAGAATCACAGTAAAGATAAAGACTCTGTGTTTTTAAAGTAAGAGTATAATATACTAGTATCTACAATGTTGTAATGTGATTTCACTTCCTCAAGGTGATCTCAGGTCAGTTCCTGTCAGAAAGAAAGGTGGGTGTAATCGTAGAGGTGGACATGTTTGGGCTTCCCGGTGATGCAAAGAAGAGGGCCAAAACCAAAATGTCCAACGGGAACTCGATGGACCCTGTGTGGAAAAATGAAAAATTTTTCTTCCCTCAGGTAGCTCGCAGACCAGACTGTGGTCGACTTTTTTTTAATGAAATATTTTTATCCTGTTTCTTTCTGTCTGACAAGTTTTAACAGTGTCGGTGTTTTCCAGGTGATCCTGCCTTCCTTAGCTTCAGTGAGAATATCAGCGTATGAGGAAAATGGCAGGTTTATTGGACACCGAGTTCTCCCTGTGTCTGCCATTAGACCTGGTGAGTGCACACACACCAAATATGCAAAAAAAAAAAAAAAAAAAAAACATTTTTTAATATAAGCATTTACAGGAGTTTGTGTCTCTTTTGTGAAAAATGAGTTGATCTAGCCTCATACAGTGGCTAGGGATGGGTACCTTTGACATTTGAATAGATTCGGTACTAATTCCCGGTACCCAGGAATCGATACCGGTGCTTAACGGTACCAATTTTAGATACTTTTGAGTGTTTATTATTTTAATTCTCTTTTATAATTAAATACATATTTTTCTCAATATTTAACCATATTTGATAAACATCACAATAAATAACATACAACTGCTTGTATTTTAACATCGTCCTTGTAGTTTTATAAGCTGATAATTAAACTGAAGCAAACATCTTTACTGTGAACTAAATTTACTGTGTATCTTCATTCCGTTTGCCGTCCTTTTTCCTTTTGATTTTTCCTACTGGGAAGTTACAATTTCCGAGGAGAAAGCGAACGCACCATTAGCTGATAACAATGGCAGCAATGGAAGCTAACATATCAAGCTAACGTTATCTTAAACAGTTTATTTAGCTGCTGGAGCAGATTAAAACGATGACGCCTCACACTTAGATTGTTGTCGCTGGTTTCATCTTCACCCAATCACCCGTCGCATTTAGTAAAGTGAAGCCAAACTTTAGAGCGTGTTCATATCCTTCCAGTCGGAAATTCGGAGTTCCGAGGTGAAAGCGAACGCACCATTAGCGGAACGGAAGCTAACATATCAAGCTAAGGTTATCTTAAACATTTTATTTACCTACCGGAGCAGATTAAGATGAGGATGTCTCACTTAGATCGTTGTCGCTGGTTTCATCACCCAGTTACCCATCACATTTAGTGAAGTGGACCCAAGCTTTAGCGTGCATTCTTTCTACCATGCTGCTCTGTTTACAACTCGCTCACAGTGACTGAAGGACGGGTACCGAAATGAGGCACCGTTTCAAATGACGTGAATTAGTGCTCAGTCTGTACTATGGAATTCGGTCGGTACTGTCAGGAACCGAGTTTAGAAGACCCGTGAAGACGCCAACACAGTAAAAATATATATAAAAAGTCTTTATTTAAAGCAGAGGTACCTGGAGGGCAAGGCTGAGGCAGGTTCAGAGGCAGGCTAAGGTCAAAGTGGCAGGCAGAGAGCAAGGCAGGGGTCAGGCAAAAAACCAGGTCCAGAGGCAAAGATCAGGCAGGGTGGATGGCTGGAGAACTACTGGCAAGGCTGTAATAATCTGGCAGGGAACTGGTGGTTTGCTGGTGAATATTTAGTAGGGGAAGCAGGTGTGTAAGATGAGCTGATGAGTGAGGAGCAGGTGAAGTGGATGAAGCTGATGAGGTGTAGGTCAGGTTGCTGTGGAAACCAGGGCTTGGCTTGAGCTTGGTGAAGGGACCAGGTGAGCTGAATGAAGGTATAATGAGGAAGTGGAGGAGGGTGAAGGACGGGAGTCATGCCAGGTACCTTAAAAAGTACTGAAGTTGGTACCCATCGCTAGGTGCGTCACTGTGTGGTTTGGCAACTGCAATATTCAAGGACCTCTCTTGATCTGTTTAACTTTGTGCCGTTAAGTAGGAGGCTCCAGAGCATCAGGACCAGGAAAGGTTCTGTCACAGATTAGCCTTAAACACTGACACAAACATTCAAAACCTTTAGACTACCTAGTAAACAGTCCCCGGGGCTCTCTGTACTGTCTTGTTTTTTTCACAAAGAGGTTTGAAATAAGGCAACTGGACCCTCAGACTGAAACTGGTCCAACCAAATGACAAGACACCCAAAGAGAAACGTACTGGCGTCTATGCAGTGAGGACCGTCCAGATCTTTACTCAGGGGAAACCAAATAACATTACACAAGCACATGGCACAACACGGGAGAGAGGTCAAGACTCTGCAGTCTACTTACACCTGAAGGTCAAGGGACACACTTTTGAAGATGACAAAGTACACATTCTGGACAGAGAAGATAGGTGGTTTGAGAGAGGAGTGAAGGAAGCCACAAACACTGGGTACTCTTAAGTATTCAGACCCCCGTCAAGTTTACACTCTGTTATATTGCAGCCGTTTGCTAAAGTCAATTAAATTCATTTTTTCCTCATTAAGGTACACACGGCCTCCATGATGACAGAAAAACACAGATTTTTGGACATTTTTGCTGATTTATTAAAAAAGAGAAAGTGAAATATCTCATGGCCATAAGTATTCAGACCCTTTGCTGTGACACTCATTTATTTAACTCAGGTGCTTTTCATTTCTTCTGATCATCCTTGAGATGGTCCTACACCTTCATTGGAGTCCAGATGTGTTTGATTACTGATTGGACCTGATTAGGAAAGCCACACACCTGTCTATAGAAGACCTTACAGCTCACAGTGCATGTCAGATCAAATGAGCATCATGAGGTCAAAGGAACTGTCTGAAGAGCTCAGAGACAGAATTGTGGCAAGGCAAAGATCTGGCCACGGTTACAAAAACATCTCTGCTGCACTAAAGGTTCCTGAGAGCACAGGGGCCTCCATTATCCTTAAATGGAAGATGTTTGGGAACCAGAACCCTTCCTAGAGCAGGCCGTCCAGCCAAACTGAGCTACCGGGGGAGAAGAGCCTTGGTGAGAGAGGTAAAGAAGAACCCAAAGATCACTGTGGCTGAGCTCCAGAGATGCAGTCAGGAGATGAGAGAAGGTTGTAGAAAGCTCAACCATCACTGCAGCCCTCCTCCAGTCAGAGCTTTATGGCAGAGTGGCCCGTCGTAAGCCTCTCAGTGCAATACACATGAAAGCCTGCATGGAGTTTGCTGAAATTCACCTGAACGACCCCGAGATGGGGAGATATAAGATTCTCTGGTCTGATGAGACCAAGGTAGAAGTTTTGATCTTAATTCTAAGCGATAGGTGTGGAGAAAACCAGGCACTGCTCATCACTTGTCCAATACAGTCCCCACAATGAAGCATGGCGGTGGCAGCATCATGCTGTGGGGTGTTTTTCAGCTGCAGGGACAGGATGACTGGTTGCAATCGAGAGAATGATGAATGCGGACAAGTACAGGGATATCCTGGACAAGAACCTTCACCAGAGAGCTCAGGACCTCAGGCTGGGCCGAAGGTTTACCTTCCACCATGACAATGAGCCTAAGTACACAACTAAAATAACTAAGAAGTGGCTTCACGGCAACTCTGTGACTGTTCTTGAATGGCCCAGCCAGAGCCCTGACTTAAACCCAACTAAGCATCTCTGGAGAGACCTAAAAATGGCCGTCCGCCACTGTTCACCATCCAACCTGACAGAACTGGAGAGGATCTGCAAGGAGGAATGGCAGAAGATCCCAAATCCAGGTGTAAGAAACTTGTTGCCTCTTTACCAAGAAGACTCGTGGCTGCATTAGCTCAAAAGGTGCTTCTAGTAAATACTGAGCAAAGGGTCTGAATACTTAGGACCATGTGATATTTCAGTCTTCTTTTTTAGTAAATCTGCATATATTTTCAAAATGTCTGTGTTTTTCTGTCAACATGGGGTGCTGTCTGTACATTGAGGGAAAATGAATTACATTTATTTTAGCAAATGGCTGCAATATAACAGAGTGAAACATTGACGGGGGTCTGAATACCTACTGTATGTTAAACGGTAAAGACCAGCATTAAACAGGACCCTAACCCTTTCCAGCACCTACAGTGCTGCTCTGAACCTAATTCCAAACACACTTTTATTCTAGGTCACTCTCTCCTGCATCTAAATAAAACAACCATTCCCACACAATAGAGTAGGGGTATGCATAGGCAGTTTCAGCTCATTAAACAACAGTAGACGGCTAAAATTTTCAACCTCGACACTCCCATGCTCTAGTAAGAATTGCTAAAGCTCCTCAGATGAGAAGCGAAACATCTTAAAGAAACCAAAGAGGTCTAGATGCATGTGGATTACCATGAGCTTGATGCCGTAAAATCCTCACCAGCATACGTCTAGTTTTTTTTCTAAAGTCTCGCTCTAGGAATCTCCACAAAAGGGTCTTTTCTGCAGCTTCATGCTCTGTATTTCAAGAATGAAAAATAATCATAGAATGCTTTAATACGTCATGATCTACCAGTTCATTTCCTCCTAGGCTTCCACTACATCTGCTTGAAAAATGAGCTGAACCAACCACTGATGTTACCCTCCCTGCTGGTTTTAACTGAGGTTTGGGACTACATTCCCACGGAACACCAGAGTAAGAAAATCGCATCGTCACACAACTATACACCAATAAAACCAACCTTTAAGCCACTTGACTACACAGGTCTTATTTTAGACCTATACTAGTTAAATTTCAATCTCCTGACATTGTACAGTTTATTCTGGACAAAATGTTCTTTTTATTGTGATCGAAGCCACACTGAAGGTTTTTAACAAGCTGCGCCTCCACAGTCCCGTGCAGTCTCGGGTGATCTGAGCTCCAGCTCTAACGGAGAGAAACTCCTGGAGCTCTGCATCACTACGGTGGATCCTGCAGAATCCTAGATCGCCATGCCGCTACTGCACTTTCATAAGACACACCGTGGCGGCAGTTGTCGTCGTCTTCCTCCACTTATCCGGGTACGGGTCGCGGGGGCAGCATCCCAACTAGGGAGCTCCAGACCGTCCTCTCCCCGGCCACCTCCACCAGCTCCTCCGGCAGGACCCCAAGGCGTTCCCGGACCAGATTGGAGATGCAACCTCTCCAACGTGTCCTGGGTCGACTCGGGGACCTCCTGCCGGCAGGACATGCCTGAAACACCTCCCCAGGGAGGCGTCCAGGAGGCATCCTGACCAGATGCCCAAACCACCTCAACTGACTCCTTTCGATCCGGAGGAGCAGCGGTTCTACTCCGAGTCCCTCCCGAATGTCCGAGCTCCTCACCCTATCTCTAAGGCTGAGCCCGGCCACCCTACGGAGGAAACTCATTTCAGCCGCTTGTGTCCGTGATCTCGTTCTTTTGGTCATTACCCAAAGCTCATGACCATAGGTGAGGATTGGGACGTAGATCGACCGGTAAATCGAGAGTCTGGCTTTCTAGCTCAGCTTCCTCGTCACCACGACAGATCGGCTCAGCGTCCGTATCACTGCAGACGCCGAACCAATCCGCCTGTCGATCTCCCGATCCCTCCTACCCTCACTCGTGAACAAGACCCCAAGATACTTAAACTCCTCCACTTGAGGTAGGACCTCTCTCCCGACCCGGAGTTAGCAAGCCACCCTTTCCCGGTCGAGAACCATGGTCTCAGATTTGGAGGTGCTGATCCTCATCCTAGCCGCTTCACACTCAGCCGCGAACCTACCCAGCAAGAGCTGAAGGTCAGCTGAATGAAGCTAGGAGGACCACATCATCCGCAAAAAGCAGAGACGAGATTCTCCTGCCACCAAACTCGACACACTCCACACCACGGCTGCGTCTAGAAATTCTGTCCATAAAGGTAATGAACAGAACCGGTGACAAAGGGCAGCCCTGGCGATGTCCAACCCTCACCGGGAACAGGTCCAACTTACTACCGGCTATGCGGACCAAATTCACACTCCTCTGGTAAAGGGACTGAATTGCCCTTAACAAAAGGCCACCCACCCCATACTCCTGGAGCGTCCCCCACAGGGTGCCCCTGGGGACACGGTCATAAGCCTTCTCCAAATCCACAAAACACATGTGGATTAGTTGGGTAAACTCCCATGCCCCCTCCATCACCCTTGCAAGGGTATAGAGCTGGTCCACAGTTCCACGGCCAGGACGAAAACCACATTGCTCCTCCTCAATCTGAGATTCAACTATCGATCGGACCCTCCTCTCCAGTACCTTGGAGTAGACCTTTCCAGGGAGGCTGAGGAGTATGATCCCCCTATAGTTGGAACACACCCTCAGGTCACCCTTCTTAAAGATGGGGACCATCACCCCGGTCTGCCACACTACAGGAACTGCCCCCGATGACCACGCAATGTTGCAGAGATGTGTCAACCATGACAGCCCTACAACATCCATAGCCTTGAGATACCCAGGGCGAACCTCATCCGCCCCCGGGGCTCCGCCGCTGTGTAGTTGTTTGACTACCTCAGCAACTTCTGCCCCTGAGATTGGACGGTCCATCCCCAGGTCTCCCGGCTCTGGTTCCTCCTCGGAATGGATTGAGGAGCTCCTCAAAGTATTCCTTCTACCGTCCGACTATAGCCCCAGTTGACGTCAACCGCTCCCCATCCCCACTGTAAACAGTGTGAGCGAGTTGCTGCCTTCCTCTCCTGAGGCGCCGGACAGTTTGCCAGAACCTCTTTGGAGCCGATCAATAGTCTTTCTCCATGGCCTCACCAAACTCCTCCCACGCCCGAGATGTTGCCTCGGCAACTGCCACTGCCAGCCCCCAAACCTAAAGAAGCATCAGCAGAATTATGCTGATTTGCCGGCATGGTGTGTCTTCTAAAAAGGGCTAATGTTAAACCGGGACTTTTCTTGGAAAAATAAATTCTGTACTCAAGCTGCAGTTGGAAGTTCTATTTCCTGAACTTTCCAGGTGGACGCAGTTGAAATGTATGAGCAACAGACCAGTTTAAAGAGAAAAGCATGGAGAGGGCTCAGTGTCTGCTGCCCCACTGCATCATGGGCTTTAGTTTTGTTTCTTTAGACAGATGTACGAAGGAAAAAAAAAAAAACAAAGATTTTAGTGGATTTCTGAAAAATCTGGGAAAACATGTTCATGCATTTTTCCATTGTCCTCCACTAATGTGGGTTTGGTCTTATGTGGGGCAGCAGCCTAAGCAGAGAGGTCCAGTCTTCCCTCTCACCAGCCACTTGGGCCAGCTCCTCAAGAGAAATTTTAAGGTGTTCCCAGGCCAGATGAGAAACATGTTCCTCCAGTGTGTCTCAGGTCTTCACTTGGGTCTCCTCCTGATTGGAGGTGCCCAGAATACCTCACCAGGGAGGCGTCCAGGAGGTTTTCTAACTAGATGCCCAAGCCACCTCAACTGGCTCCTCTGGACCAGGAGGAGCAGTGCATCTCCTTTGAACCTCTCCTGGATGACCGAGCGTCTCACTCTATCCCTAAAGGAGAGCCCAGACACCCTGCGGAGAAAACTCATTTTGGCCGCTTGTATCCGCGATCTCATTCCTTTGTTCACTACCACCTTGACAGATACCTACCACCCTGTGGCCACAGCTCAGGTCGGCGGCCTCAATTATGGAAGCATGGAACATGGCCCACTCAGACTCAATGTGCCACGCCTCCCCAAGATGTGTTTAAAGTTATGTCGGAGGCAGGAAATGAAATAGCTTTTGAGAAGGGACTCTGCCAGACGTTCCCAGCAGAGCCTCACAGTCTGTGTAGGCCATGGTAGTCTGGAAATTTTTAACCCTTCCGCATTTTTAATGGGGTCAGATGGACCTCTGGTCTATTTACATTTTTTATTTTAAGATTTTTTAAGGGGTGCATCACTTAACCCCTGCCAAGGCATAAACTTTAACCCAGTTTTACCACCCCCTGTCCTGGCGGGGCCACCTGATAGGACAGTGGAAGGGTTAAACAACACCTGAAGACCCTTTTATTTAAATCTGCTTTTACCTAAATCCTTGATTCTCTTATCTTTAACTCAAATTTGTAATCGTCATCATTTGTTTTATAGTGTTGTTTTTTTACCTTTATGACTTTATGATTTGTTTTGTTTTGATCTATGTAAAGCACTTTGTGACTTTCTGTCTGTTATGAGGGCTATATAAATAAAATGTATTTACTTACCAGAATATGCCGATGCCCTGGCAGACCCCATCAGGTATGTCAGTCAGTTTGACAAGAGACAGAAACAGCTGGAGGCGCTCATGGCGTACGAGGTAACATTTCTCTGTTTTCCCAACAAGTATCTGTAAAAATAAATAAATAAATAAACCTGGATTATTTCCAAGGTTATCAGATGGTTTGCACAGGGATTAATACCAGCTTGCTTTTATTCCAATCTAAAGACAGAGATGATGGATGTTCCAGATTCCCCCCCCACCCCCGACCCGCGGCCAGCCCCCAAACCTAAAGAAGAAATCATCAACAACAACAGGACGTCTGAACCAGGTGAGGAGGTTTGGTTAACTGTACTTAAACTGTTGCCTTTTGTATTTTTTCTCTGAGCTCAGCCTTTTACATTTAAACTAGAAAGGTTAGGCCACGCCCTCTCATTTAATGTTTTTTTTCTGTTTTTATGGCTGTTGTAGATTCTTCCAGAATACATCAAAACAATGAGTGTATATATACTATAAAGGCGTGAAGTAACTCTAAATGTGTTTTGTATATTCTTGCTATTCTGCTGCTTTGCACACTTTCTCGAGCTTCATGAAGTAGCACCTGAGATGGTTTTTCAACGCTCTCGAAGGAGTTCCCATGGAGGCTGGGAACTTGATGTCTATAACCCTTTTCAGATTGGCATTCTGGAATATGTGTGGACAATTCAGTCCGGTTTTTAACCAGAACTGTGTTTTCAGACACACCACTTTTGTACCGGAACTTGTCCTTTCGGCTGCCTTCACACAGCAGGGAAAAGTTCCAGATGTCTGAGGGGGTGGGAAGGCTGTTCCCAGATATTGCGTAAACATGGTGCGGCGGGCGTACATGCGTCATTTACCCAAACAAAGCCATTCAGTCAAATGGCAGACGATGAGATAGAATTCTTCTCACTGATCGGACTTGAGCATAATTCTGCGCACACGAAGACGCATAAGAGACCTGGATGATGAAGCTCAATGGTTAAAGGAATCACTGAAGCGGTGTGAAGCGCTCCGTCGCGCGTCTAGACGGTACCGTAGGAGGCGAGCTGCCATGATTCGCCGCATGCTACTGGAGTGAGCTATCTAGGTGCGCACAGCGTCCCCCAGTCCCCTCCTCCTCCCCCTCCTCCCTGTCCGGAACTCAACCTCACCAGTCTGAAGCAGCCACCTTGTCCGTGACAAGTTGTGACCGTGACCTGTCACTAGGGCCGTCGTCCGGTTTAATTACGGAAAACGTTATCCGAATGTTTGTATTCAGACACAAAGGTCTTACGGACAGAGTCCTGAAATTTTCCATTTTTCATGGCCTGTCTGAAGGGGGCTTATATGGGCCATTCCCATCTGTACCTGGTCTGCCCTGCCCGGATAGCTCCAGTCTGCCCGGTTGATTCCACATATCCTTGCTTAGGTATGCAAGGAATGCAGTCAGAGACATTTTCAGCTTCTAGGTAATCAGCATGATAACGAATGATAATGAACTGAGCATGCCATAAGCCCATGTGGGCTGATTCCACCCACCAATCAGAGGCTTGCTCTAATGGAAGGTGCAAATTTGCTGACTGATAAGCCGGCTCATCAGTCAGCAGTGGGTGTGTTGGTCCTGGTCAGAAAGAGGGCTGAAAAGCAGTCTCGTTGCACCCTGAAAAAAGGCAGACCACCAAGATATGTAAGCAAGCTATGCTATCCGGGCCGGGCCGACCAGGTACAGATGGGAATGGCCCATAAACCCAGGTGGTTTGGGTTTAGGTCAGGTGTCCATGGAGGCAGGCCGTCTGCATTGTTGCATTGCCCTCCTTACACCCGCTGGAGGTGTGTTTGGGGTCATTGCACTGGTGAAAAACTATACACAAACAGATGGGATGGCACGTTGCTGCAGGATGCTGTGGTAGCCATGCTGCTGCAGTGGGGCTTCAAGTTTGAATAAACACAAGACAGTCACAAGGAAAGCATCCCGACACCGTCACATCTCGTCCTCCATGCTTTATGGTGAGAATCATGCATGTAGACGCCTTTTCTGCATTGCACAATGAAAACGGCTGGAAACAAATACGTCAGCTTTTAGTCTCATCGGACCAAAGCACAGATTTGCACTCATTTATCGGGCTCAGTTTGCCCAGAAAGACTTTATTCGTGCAGTCTTCTCTGAACAGTTGTTATACAGATGTTTCAGCTACTTCAAGTTGGTTTGGTATTGGCATTTATCTGGACTCCAGCCTCAGGTGCTATTGTCTTGGAGGAAGTGGCATCCTCCCTGATGCGGCCCTTGTGTGAGCCTGTGTCATCGTAGTGCTTGATGGTTTTTCGGGCTGCACTTGAGGACAAATTCAATGTTTTAGGCATTTTAAGCAGTCCATTCACATTTTTGCAACCAATGTTAAAAAAAAGTCATTTTTTCATAATTGCTGTTGTTGACTCTAGTTCTATGATTGAGTTATATCACTTGATCAAGTCTTTCATACAGGTCCTTCTCGAAGAATTAGCATATAGTGATAAAGTTCATTATTGTCTGTAATGTACTGATACACATTAGACTTGGCGAGTGAACCATGTTAGCTTAAACTTGTGTGCTAACTTCACAATATAGTACTGATTACTATCGTGTACCAGACAATTAAAGTAGTATCGGTCAGTTAATATAATATTAATGCTAATGAGCGTCTGTCAGCGGTCTCATACTCGCTAATATCCGTTCACCTAACCTGGTTTACCTTAGAGAGAGAGACGCCTGTGATCCGGTTCTGGAGCTCATGCGGGCTTCTGTGAGCTGGATCTGACCCAAACACGAGCGAGACAGTCGAGCTGGTATTTTTAAAAGCCGCGCATCATCTCCTGGTGGTCCAGGCGGCGTTTCTGATCCGGTTCCGACCCGGAAACCAGCTGGCCCGCTGAGCCGCGCGTCTCTTCTGGTGGTCGGTTCTGACATTGATCCACATTTAATTTTTTAAACCCCGCCTCGGGTCTCCGGAGCCGGGCGCGGGCCTCCCTGACCCGGTATCGACCGATGTGGGCTACAGAAGTCCGTCTTTCAGCTGCAGAAACGCCCACAGGCACGGCAATAGAGGCGTTTTTCCTCTGATCTGGAAACCCGTGGACTCGATGTCCAGACAGGCTGGAGTTGGTACCGCCTTCACACACTCTAGTTCATGGTTTCTCAACCTTTTTCAGCTAAACGCCCCCCCAAGTCATGCTGAAATCCCTTACTGCCCACCAATGTCCCATGCAGAGAAATGGAAAGTTTTTTAAAATAAAAATCATAATAAAAAAATAAATAAATAAACAATTCAGCCTTGAGTTTGAAACTGTTTCATACAAATATATCATAAAAAAGTATCATAAAAAGTGTTTTTAGCTATTAGCAACAAGATATTGTAGGAAGCTAATAATCCTCGGTCCAGTAAATTTGAGCTTCGAGCAAACATACTGCTAATGCTACCTCTTTTAGAGTGTCTCTCTTTAATTACCTGAAAATAGTTCAGTTCCTTTAAAGCTTTGTCTGGATGCATTTTGGACTCCTTAAGCCGGGAGGATTTCATCGTTTCGTTTCAAAAAACTTTTCACAAAGCAGGCACATGGGGAGTTGTGGATTCGTGGGTGAAGGAATACGTCCATACCGAAGGTAGTGCACATTGTACTGTCGACACTTCTTTTTATTCTGAGCCATTGTCTGTTATGAATGTTCTGTACTGCTAGCGCCCACCATTAGCATCTCAGCGCCCCCTTCAGTGGCAAAAAACTTTCACCGCCCCCTTATGTAGTCTGAACGCCCACTGGGGGGCGCTACAGCCCCCGTTGAGAAACCCTGCTCTAGTTTATCAACATGAACACAACCCAACACTAGTAAACACACACTGACTGGATCACATGACCTCTCTACCCTAAAACTAGCCACTCTCCACACTGAGCTGAGGCAGCCGAGCTTCTGACTCCCTTTGGTTACGTCAGAGGTTCACATTTAGAAACGAGCTTTGCTGAGAAAGGTCCGGTTCTGCTAGAAATCTCTGCTGTTATGTATTTTAAAACCAAATAACCACAATAAGCTTTTTAAATAGTATTTTTTGGACAGTGTTTTATATGAATTAGAAAAATAATTTAACCTGCAATTTGCTCTTTAACTCAAATTTTACAAACATAAACATTGCAGTTATTTAAAATGTTATTTCAAATTTTATTTAAAAAAATTTTTTTGTTTAATTCACCTGTTGCCGTTTTCACAAAAAAACTTTGGAAATTAAAACATTTTTTTCTAATGGTGAGAAGCAGAAACATATATTTTTTATTCTGATTATTTCTTTACTCATTAATTGTATAATTTTTATTGTGTTTCACATTTATGTCTTGAATAAATAAGATTAATTTATTGTTTGAGAGAACATTAATATGATTTATTAACACTGGCTTTTCCTGAGGGGGGGGGGGCATTTTCTAGGGGTGGCCATGGCCACCCCTGACCACCCTTTGGGGGCGCCATTGGTCGAGGCCGATAAAAATGTATCTATCATCTACTGTGTGTGTGTGTGTGTGTGTGTGTGTGTGTGTGTGTGTGTGTGTGTGTGTGTGTGTGTGTGTGTGTGTGTGTGTGTGTGTGTGTGTGTGTGTGTGTGTGTGTGTGTGTGTAGGACCATCATCAACTCCCAAGGACAAGGATTTCGTGTCCACTGTCATAACAAGTAAGGACCTCACGTATATTTCTGAACTGAAACTACTGAAGTCTTTTGAAGAGGTTTCATCCTTTTAAAAGGGAGTTTTCCTCTCCACTGTCGCTACATGCTTGTTTAGTATGAGGATTGCTGTTAAATCACTGACACAAGTCAGTGACTCAATGCAGTCTACTGGGTTTCCTTATGTAGGAAAATGATTGGCGTAATGAACTGAACTCACTTGGAACGTTGACTTCGTGAAGTGTCTTGAGACGACTCTCGTCGTGATTTGGCGCAAAATAAATCAACTGAATCTGTCACGTGTAGAGCAGCTGTCATGATGAGCTGGACTGTTTATCTGTTCTCAGCAACATCTTTATTTTATTTATGTGTCAATCAGAACTCATCCTCCCATCTGTAAAGGAGCTGAAGGAGCAGAAGAGTTATGATAAACTCCAAAAGAAGCAGCTTAAAGAATTCAAAGACCTGAGTAAGAAGAACCAAAAGAAGGTACTTGCAAAATAAAAAAATCATACAAGATAATTAAAGAGTGATACGATGGTTTTTGAGTATTTTATTTTGTTTTTTTGCCAGCTTCAGTCAGAAATCCAGAAAAAATGCAGCTTGATCGAGAAGAAATTCAAACGTAGCATCAAAAAACAGTAAGTAAAGGCGGGTGGATGGATGCATGGAAGGACAAAAAGATGGACGTAGATAGAGATTGATGTAAGCCCCAAATACGGTGGATGGTTAAAATCCAAGCAGATCAGCCCAAGCTGTCTAGTTTCAAAGTCTGATTTCTGATGTTCTGTATTCTGAAGCTCAGGTTGAATTTCAGCAGATCATCTAGATGCCTGAATGCATTAAGTTGCTTCCATTTGATTGGCTGATTTGATATTTGCAGTGTTGGGCCAGTTACTTCAAAGCTGTAATGCATTATTTATTACTTGTTACCCTCATTTAAAGTAATTCATGACATTACAATATTACTGATTTTAAAATGTAATGCATTACACTACTTTTGCATTACTTTAAGTTACTCTCACCAGAACAACTTCAGCATGAATCTGGTCATGTGACGCTCAGTGAGCTCATGACATATATGTGGAAGGTGATGTGGTGTCTGAGCTAGGGTTGCTGTTAAAACAGTCAGATATAACAACGGTGCTTTAAAATGATTGTTTATTAAATAAAAGCAACAACAATCTGTACTCTCAGCACGCTGCCATCTTATATTAACTGAGCAGGAAGTGAGGTGGTGGGGGCTCCAAGCCTACATTTGCCTTGGTCCCCAAATGCCTTGATACGGCCCTGGATGTGGGACTGACTTCTGGGGTGATCTGATTCTATCACATGTATAAATATTAAATGCGTATATATTATTGCTTTTCACTGGTAAAAATGTGTATTGGGGATAAATCTACCTACTTTTTGTCTTTTCAAGCACTTTGTTTTGTTTTCGTGATTTTATGTGAATAATTTCCGGCCCTTTCTCTCTCTAACCTTCCTGCATGCTGCATGTTTTCTCCATCTTCCAGAAAAACTGTTTCCTCGATTTCCTACTTTCTAACTAATCAGCCAAAGGGATCTACCGAACCAGCAGCAATGAGATGAAATCACCGGGGCCCAGATTATGAACTCAGCTGAAAAGTACATGAAGTACCAGAGAATATGGGCTGATATAAACGATCACAAACAAATTACTTTGTTTTGGTGGAGCGATTTTGTGAATATAACAGCGGCCGCGTGCAGGACGCAGCTGGAGTATTTGAGCCGTCACCGCTGCGTCCTCTCTGCTCATGGAATGCCCGCAAAGCCGAGTCCATACATGACGTCATATATGTGGATACTGGATCTTTTTTCAGGCTTCCTGCAATTTGAATTTTTAGGAAACCCACATCTTGATTCTGGGTTTAAAAATGTATTGTAATTACCGCGTTATTGACAATTGTACCAAGTAAATATTACCATTTTCTTTCCCTGTAATGCCTTACATTACCACATTACAGCAAAAAGCAATGCATTACAGTAATTAATTACTTTTGTACCACGTTACTCCCAACACTGGATATTTATGTTAATAAACCCTTAAACAGGTGTACTTAATAAAGTGGCTGGTGAGTGTTGATGGATTGTGAATGTCCACGTACTAAAATGAAGCAAAAGTTACAGAAACCAGTCCTTCTGCTGGACATGTGTGGTATAAAACAGGCATGTCCAACGTGCAGCTCAGGGGCCCTCTGTGGCCCTCTAGTGATTTTATGTGGCCTCCAATAGCATTTCTGGATTTGTGGAATTAGGACTGTCCTGCAAGCGGTGGATGTAGAGTGACTATAATAAAGTAACACAGAGCTTGTTGCTGCTCCTCTGCCCTAGTGACTGAAAGTGGAATAAGAACCAACCCTGCTTTAGCTAGCGCTAACACTGATTTAACACAAACACGAGCCAACAAATGCTAAAATAAACCACTAAGTAAAATGATCCACACTGTTGGACAAAAAATATTATCTAGTAGCAACAAATCCAGGTCACAATCAGTCCGTGATTTTGTTGCCTCCTTTAGCTCCCTCAAACTAGTGTAGGCTGTGCCGATGTTCACTCTGGTTTTAGGTCTTTGCTTCACCTCCAAAGACATTACTGTCTTACTTCCAGGCACCGCCATGATGCCAAAAACAAAAGCAAACTACTTTTTTTCTTCTTCTTGTGCTCATTATTGACGCTCGGCGAACTGAAAAAGCTAACAGCTAGCATAACAGCTAACAGCTGTTAAGCAGGTAAGAGCGCCCCCTAGAGCACATACCCGCTCAGTTTTCTGGTCAGCAGAGGGCTGCAGAATGGTGTCGCATATGAAACTGGTCAAGTTTTTAACGCAACGATCACAATGGTAAAGCCCTAGCTTAAAGTTTAAAAACCTATTTAGTGTTTAACATTTTTACAATCCAGGTTTACAAATAACTAGGGCTGCAGGATAGTAGGAAAACCTGCGATATGCAATAACAGTGAATAATACTGCGATGACGGTATTACTTGCGATAAATATAAACTTAATTCAGGAACAAAAATAATCAAAATAAAAAAATTTAAAAAGTGACAAAAATGTCATAAAAATGAGAAAAGCAAAAGATGGGAGTAGGGATGGTACCTTTGACATTTGAATTGATTCGGTACTAATTGCCAGTACCTAGGAATCGATACCGGTACTTAACGGTACCAATTTTAGATACTTTTCAGTGTTTAATATTTTAGTTCTCTTTTAAAATTAAATGTATATTTTTCTTGATTTATAACCATATTTGATAAATATCACAATAAATAACATACAACTGTTTGTATTATAACATGGTCCTTGTAGTTTTATAAGCTGATAATTAAACTGAAGCAAACATCTTTACTGTGAACTAAATTTACTGTGTATCTTCATTCCTTTTGCCGTCTTTTTTCATTTGATTTTTCCTACTGGGAAGTTAGAATTTCCGAGGAGAAAGTGAACGCACCATTAGCGGAACGGTAGCTAACATATCAAGCTAACATTATGTTAAACATTTTATTTACCTACCGGAGCAGATTAAGATGAGGATGTCTCACTTAGATCGTTGTCGCTGGTTTCATCATCACCCAGTTACCCATCACATTTAGTGAAGTGGACCCAAGCTTTAGCGTGCGTTCTTTCTACCATGCTGCTCTGTTTACAACTGGCTCACAGCGAGCGACGACATAACGCTCTTGCGCATGCGCAGCTGTCTAGGCACGTTCTCGTTATGAAGGACGGGTACCGAAACGAGGCGCCGTTTCAAATGACGTGAATCGGTGCTCAGTCGGTACTGTGGAATTTAGTCGGTAGCTTAAAAAGTACCGAATTCGGTACCCATCGCTAGATGGGAGGAAAGGGAAAAAGAGAATGATCAAGAAGAGGCAATCGGTGGATCCCGGGAAAAGCAGAATCAGTAGAAAGAGCAGAACAAAGCTAACTCAGGCGTTCACTAACCATCAAAATTAAGTGTCGGGGGCGGGCGTCTAACCTATGAGAACCCACCCAATTGGCCGAATGGGTGAAGAGCTCTATTAGATTTGTAAAAAAAAAACATCATGCTTCCGTTTGATTGACAGAATGCATCGTGTGTAGCAAACATTTGAGCTGACCATTCTTTGCGATATTCATCTGTTCTTTGCGATATGCATATTGCACATGCTGATATCGCGATAACGATATATTTGCGATATATTGTGCAGCCCTACAAATAACCATAAACCTAACCCGCAAGAACTTTATCATCATGATTTTGGCTCTTGTCTTGAAATGTTTATACACCCCTGGAACAAAAGATGCAGCTGATGAAATCTGACTCCATGTGCTCACCAGTGAACCTCAGGAATCTGGCCTGAGTGCGCAGAACCAGACGGTCGTGCTTCAGGAGGAACAGATGCAGGAGCTCCTGAAACTCCAACAAGAGCTTCATAAGCAGGAAGAAAAGATGAGACTTGAGCATCTGAAAGAGGTGACAACACTTCCATCAGTTAATGAACAAACCCGCTCTTCTGATAATGGACCCTTCTGGTTTTGGCGAGTCAGTGCAGAATGACCACGGACTTGTGTGGTGCGTTTTCAGGCCTACAAGAAGTTACAGGACTTGGCCGAAGACTGTAAATCAAACCACATGAAGAAGATGAAAGACACGTGTGAAAGGTGCGCTGCATTTACAGTTTAAACGGGAGATATTTCAAGTTTGTTTTATGTTTATGAATTTTGCACTTTCATCCAAAGTTTTTATCCAAAGTGGCTTACGAAGGAGAATCGAACAAGGCACTTACCCTTGAGCCCAACAGGGTAGGTAAATGGTAAAGGGTAAAAGGTCTCCATTATATGTAATACCCCCTAGAACCCTCCTTTACCACTCAACAGAGATTTACCCACACAGTCGCATACTGGCGGCGACTAGCCGCATCGTAGCCGTACATGCTAGGCACTTCCAGTTGTCTCCGATCACCACCAGCGGGCAAGGCGGGGGGGTGTCCTGGCCAAGGACACTGACCCGTGCTTGTATAGCGCCTTTCAGAGGACTCCAAGCACTTTTTACTACAGAGTATCATTCATCCATTCATACACACATTCACCACGCACTGAGGGTGATGAGCTACAATGTAGCTACAGCTGTCCTGGGGCACCCTGACAGAGGTGAGGCTTCCGAGCACAGGCACTATCTTTGATGACTGGAGTGACTCAGTTGTGATGTCCCTAACCCTAACCCTAACCCTGTGAAACATTTGCAAAGGGTAGTAGATGAGGACCATACCCTGGGCCAGAATCTGGGTGGCATTTTAAAGTTTTATGTCCCATTAATCGTCACACGCACCTCCAGGTTTGACCCATCACCATGGGGAGTGGTGACTTGGTGATTTAAGCCCCCAATCGAACCCCTTAAAGCTGAGTGTTGAGTGGGGAGGCATGGGTCCCATTTTTGTAGTCTTTGGTATGACCCGACCTTTGATTTGAATCACGATCTCCCAGTCTCAGGGCGGACCACTAGGCCACAGAGTTGGGTTAGGTTATTGGGTTAGGCATGGCCTGATCTTTTGGGGTTAGTGTTGGGGAATAAGTCCATCCACCCATTTTCATCCGCTTATCCAGAGTGGGGTCGCGGGGGCAGTAGCCTAAGGCGAGAGGCCCAGACTTCCCTCTCCCCAGCCACTTGGGCCAGCTCCTCCGGGGGAATCCCAAGGCATTCCCTGGCCAGGTGAGAGACAAATGAGCCATTCCCATCTGTAACGGGTCGGCCCGGGCCGGGTACCATAGGTTGTTTACTTATCTGGGTGGCCTGGTATTTTTCCGGGCCAACCAAGGCTCATTCTCAGCCCTCTTCTCGAGAGGGTCTGCTTCAGGCCGACCAGGGCCAACACACCCACTGCTGACAGCAAATTCACACCTTCCATTAGAGCAAACCTCTGATTGGTGGGTAGAATCAGCCCACATGGGCTTAAGACAAGGATGTGTGGAATCAACCGGGCCAGGCTGGGGCCGACTGGGGCTACCCGGCTCGGGCTGACCCGGTACAGATGGGAATGGCCCAATAGTCCCTCCACCGTGTCCTGGGTCTACCTTTAGGTCTCCTCCCGGTTGGACGTGCCCGGAAAACCTCACCAGGGAGGCGTCCAGGAGGCATCCTGACCAGATGCTCGAGCCACCTCAACTGGCTCCTCTCGATGTGGAGGAGCAGCGGGTCTACTCCGAACCCCTCTCGGATGACCAAGCTTCTCACCCTATCTCATTTTGGCCGCTTGCATCCGCAATCTCGTTCTTTCTGTCACTACCCAAAGCTCGTGACCATAGGTGAGGGTAGGATAGGTAAATCGAGAGTTTCGCCTTCTGACTCAGCTCTCTCTTCACCACGACAGACCGGTACAACGCCCGCATCACTGCAGATGCAGCACCAATCCACCTATCGATCTCACGCTCCAGCTTTCCCTCACTCGTGACCAAGACCCTGAGATACTTTAACTCCTCCACTTGGGGCAGGACCTCATCCCTGACCCGGATTCGGATTGAAATATTGCTCTGTATGGCTGGTTTGACTGGGAACAAGTGTATTTAGTTGGAGGTGCTGGGCTTTCATGGGAATTTTGGAGTTGGGAATAATCAGCATAGCACATCTGACCCAGTGAGGTTGTGTGTATGGAAAAGGGAAAAGGTTCTAGTACTGGTTCTTGGGGTTTACCTTTCATGTAAAGCGGTAACTGTTTCTGCAGGGAGAAGAAAGAAATTCAGAAGATGATGGACAGGAAGCGTCAGAACAGCATCAGTGAAGTCAAAGTCAAAGACAACAAGCCAGACGAGGAGATCAATGAGATCAACTCGAGACACATTAAAGAAACTGTTTCTGCAATCCGTACTGTGAGTATTACACACACACACACACACACACACACACACACACACACACACACACACACACACACACACACACACACACACACACACACACACACACACACACACACACACACACACACACACACACACACACACACACACACACACACCAACTGAAGCCCCTGTGGGTTTCGGGTTTGTCCTACTCTGTCTCCTTTCTGGTCCCCAGCTGGAGGAGGAGCAGGACAAGAGATCGGAGAAGCTCAAGCAGGACCTCCAGGGGGTGCTAGAGAGTCTTAATAAGGAGTTTGAAGAGGTGAGCTGTTAAAAACACACTATTTGACACAATCAGCACCAGAGTGATGCCACTGAAGGAAAGATCTACAGATAAAAGCTCTGTCGTGTCGCTCTAGTGGTGGATATAGACCTGGCGTCTAACTGGTAGCTGCTGCTTCACTAACCCGGCGCCCATCTGAACACGGTTCCAGATTTCTGACAGCTAAACCACTTTATTTATTAAATGCACATATACAGGAAGTGCTTGATTCAGTCGCTGTAGTTTAAGCACAATCGCAAAATAAATGATGTAATTAATGCGTAGTTTGAAGGAGAAAGAGACGATTACACTCCTGGACTCTTCCACCGGAGGCAGCATTCTGCTCTTTAACCCTTCCGAAGGTAAAAGACTCGTTTTGATCCTGTTTGTGATTTTGGACAGAATCAGAAAAAGCTGGAACAAGAGCTGGATGAGGAGTATCAGCAGCTAACTGTAAAGGTGGCCCTGTGCCTGCAGGCGGAGCTCCACAACAAAGGTGTCCGAAACGAGTCCCTGTCCAATCACAGCAGCCCAGGCTCAGCCAGTCTGTCCAACTGTTCCACGCCGACGTTCCCGTCCCATCGGAGGAGCACCAACAAGATCATGGACAAGTCTTCGAGCCCCTCTGTCCTGTCGGAGACAGATTAATCATTCAGTTAGAGGGACGGCTTCTTCACACGCCCTCCAGGGGCTCGATAGTAATTACGACGTGGGATTTTATAATTTTATTCCTTTTTTAATGCGGACTGGTTCATCCTTGTCTACAAAGCTGTATTTTTATGTAGCTGTTTTTAACAGCATCCTAATCAGTCCTCTTTTGATCGTGTTTGTCCTGATTTTACGTTTTATTCCAGCATCTCTCTTGGGTCAGCGGGCTTCTTAGCAGGTTTCCTGCTTTTCTGTTGCTAAAACCTTTTCATGTTTCTGAAACTGCGTAGGGCAAAGGAGCAGCTAGAAAATGGCTTTTGGCTGCTGATACTCCCCTAGAATAGCCTCTAAAATAGGTTTCCTGCATATTCTAGTGCCCTTGTGTATCCAGTGATGAAGCTGCATGGAGTAAATGTCACCAACCAAATGTTTTTATAATCTAAAAAAAGCCATTCACACAATAATTAAGTGGACATGAAGGGAAAGAGATTTCTATGTAATGTTAGCCAGCGGCCAGTAGGTGGTGCTGCAACCTCAAGGATTTTAGATGAAACTAGTTTTTGAGCTCTCATGTTTTAGATTCGGCCCTTTTTTCAACTTGGCGGTGACGGATGGTTGGGTGGTGGTAAGGTGGGGGTCCTCTACCTCCATCTCACCTGTCCAGCCAGGTAATTACAAGTAAAGGTACGTTCACGCAAGCCTCTCCGCTCCTGCCAAAGCGTGTCTGTATTTAATGGGCTGTTGATGGTACTGTGTGTGTGTGTGTGTGTGTGTGTGTGTGTGCGTGCGTGTGTGTGTGTGCGTGTGTGTGTGTGTGTGTGCGTGTGCGTGTGCGCACCTCCACTGGCTGCCTTTCTCTAAACTGAAATGATTTCATCATTTTATTTTAAAGGGGGGAAACGTTCTTTAAAAAATGAAATGGAAGTTTTTATTTCCAGTAAATCTGTTTAACCCTCCCACCGTCTTCGTGGGTGTGACCCCGCGAGGAAAGTTGACCTTTGAGCAGGGTTGATGGTTTATCCCTTGAGGTCCACGTGGCAGGGGTGAGGTGGTGCTCACTCCTCACCCCGGCCACGTGGACCATCAACCCTGCTCAAAGGTCAACGTTCCTCGCGGGGTCACACCCATGAAGACGGTGGGAGGGTAAAGTATTTTTATGTGCCTGATATCCATCTCAAACTTTTCATCAGGATGTTTTTATTTTTTGGTCATGAGTTTGTTGGTTTGTGGATAACCACAACAGAACGCCTCGGAGCGATCTAAAGGTGGTAGAGATGCTGCTTCACTAATGCACTATAGTGTGTCTCAGAGCAGGAACGTCTGACGGGAGAGGACTTTTATCCTTTTGGTTTCATTTCAGGACCATCTTGTGGAAAGCAAAATTGTACATTTTCATTTTTCTTTCATTTTTACAACCGTTCCTGTTGAAATGCACTTTTTCTGATGCGTTTTGGATGTTTGTGAAGCACGCTGCTCCTGTGACGCAGACATCAATACAACCACCTTCCACCGCCGCTGCTTTTGTGTGAAGCCTCTCCAGTTTGTTCCTGTGAAAGACGGAGCCACCAAGGGCTTTTTAACAAGTTATTTTTCTCTCTTTGCGCTCATTTGCATTCATTTGGTTTTATTTGTTTGAGAATTAAAAAAGAAATAATGACACGCACATTAACTGAACAACTCTCCATGAACTGGAGCACCTGGGCTACAGACCGCATCAACCCGTCCATCTGCTGCAGGTGTTTACGGGTCTTGGTGTGATAATAAATGGTGCATAAGCCAAAACACATTTACACATTTATGATAATGCAAAATACTTACTTTAATGAATTTCTGTACTTTTCTGGACTTCTAGAGATAAATAATCAACATATAATAAAAATAAAATATACTTTACAGATGCAGATCAGTAATCAGAGCGCACAGAACAGGAAGTCTTTTTGGATTTACTCTGATTTCAGCCAGGATGGTTAACAGAGCGCCTTGACTGTTGTAGAAGTAGGAGAAACTCAAATGTCAGGTATGCAAGCCCGTTCCTCTGGGGAAAAACCTTGCTCACCTGGAGAGTTTTTTCTTCATAAATCAGGGACTCGTGGATGCTTTTAATCAACAGATATCATTCCTCTGTTCATAGGCATCTTCATTCACATTATTGTGACAAAAACACTGAAAATTCCCACCACAAAACCATTCTACAAACTCTCGCGGCTAACCTCGCCGGCGAGCGTTCCTACTGGACGTTTCTGTGAGTTCAGGAGTTTTAACCTTGATGATTTAGCTCTGATAGACGCACAAAGCCCGGCACCGGTGGACGCCACAGCTTATTAGACATTTGGTGCCTCGTGGCCCTCGGGCCTTCCCCGAGGCCTCTGGCTGCCAGCCCTCCCCTCCCAGTCTTCGCTGTCGTTCGCATCCCCCTGCCTCCAGCGCCACCAGTAATGAGACCATATTTTACGTCTGGACTTTATAAATAAATTAAAAGCAGCAGTTTGATCGGCAGAGACGGCTTCACTGTGCATGTAGGTGATCAGATATAAAGGGACAATCATTCAAGATGTAATATTTTACTGTTCCTCCATAATTAATATATGAATGAACATCCAGTAATAAACTTCCTGTCACGGATCCTATTTGCTGATGTTCTCGTGTTTCTTGTACAGTTTATAGTGAAAGAGTTTGCTGTTTAAAGGTAAGGTAAGTAAGAATTTCATAGAGAAATAATCACAACAGTCTAACGTGTCGGCCACGTTGGAAGGAAGGTTGCACCGACACAGACCATGACACACCAGGTACAAAAACTAACTTGTTTTTATTTGACTATTTTTCTGTCCTGCCTGTTTATTATCTTCCTGCATCTCCTCTCAATCCTAAAGAGAAACTGCTACCTGGGTTCATATATATTCACCTCATGAGTTACCTCTGAACTGCAGTTCTAAAAGATCTACCGACCGCAAAAACAGCGGAGTGCCGCTGCTCGCCGGCCGACTACAGCGGGACCGTTTTTGCTGCGGAGTTCGTGTCGGAGCGGAGCGGAGTGGAGATAGTGGAATCTTGGGGGTGGGTCACCGGAGAACAAAACAGGTGAAGAGCCTTGCTCCGCAGCAGCGAAACGCATCAGGCACAAATAACAGACAGAAAACATTAAAGGAAATGAGCCGACATGGAGCGCGCAACGATCAGAGCTTTGCATGCGCAGACTGGTTAAGATTAGGATGGGGGTGAGGGGAAGGTAAAATTGCAAGAGGGAAAGTGTCACAGTTTGGTTAAATGTCCGTTTTACCGCCGGTGTCAGTACCGACGCTCTGGCACAGCGCGTCGCCTCCGCCTCTCGACGCAGCGGCTCATCACCTGCTGGAGGACTGCATCTTGTCAGTCATTATCACGTGACAGCGACTGGTCGATGACAGGCATAAAAAGTCACTACAGAGCCGTGAAGTCGACTCGTCGACTAGTTCATACAACCCCTAATGCACACACACATATGCATGCACGCACGCACGCACGCACACACACACACACACACACACAATATCCCTAGCCTCTCTTTTCTTCTACTAGTCTGGAAAGCCATCCAATATATTTTGCTTTGCATGATGTTCTAGATTCTAGACTAGTCTTCTACTGTTTTCATCCATTCCTTCCTTCCTCTATCCCTTTGACAGTTATGCTGCTCCTATTAGCCTTTTAGCACTAGCATAGCTGCAAAAACCCATTATAATACCTGTTGATCTTAGAATAACCTAGCCAAATTAGCCATAAACTAATTAGCGCGTGATGATATGACTAGCTGGTATGTTTACTCAAACTGAGCCTTTCTTTCAAACGAGCGCTTCTAGACCACAGAACACACACATTGTTGGTCACGTATCTCGAATAGCTTATCACAAATCGCTAATCGAGACATCGAGACGACCTGCTGAAGGTCAACCTGAGCATCAAAATGGAGATTTAAGGGACTTTGAGTGGTTGTCTGTGCCAGGTGGGACTGGAAAACTGTAATCCTGGATTTCAGCTGCAACATTCAGATGGCTGAGTCACAATTTAGTAACCAACATGAAAAGATGGCTCCATCCTACCAATGCTGCAGGCTGCTGCTGATAATGGGGTGTTCTGGTCCCACTTTAGACCCCTTTAGTTTCACCTGAGCCTAGTTTAAACCCCACAACCACCCGAGTATTATTGCTGACCATCTCCATCCCTGTATGACCACACAGACCCATCTTTTGATCCCAAATCCGGATAAATGGAAATGACCGTGTCAGGAAGGGCATCCAAAGGTGTTTTTGTCTAATATTATTTGAAACGTGGTCAGAAAAATGTTGATAAATCTAATCAGAAAGTGAACAAAAGCAGGCGTTTCTCTGGTCCTTCAGCTTGTCCAAGGCGGATGTTTTTACCGCTGTCGTCGCCCTCAGCTCCACTTGTCATAAACACAATTCTGAGAGTGTGAGTGCTTCCTGTTGATCTGAGATGACAGATAAAATAACAGAGTTTATCTGTCACTTCTCACCCAGAGAGAGAAAATGCAGCCATAAAAGCCGGCGTTTGTTTTTTTCCCTCTTTTTTTCCTTTAATGCCTGAAAGTGTCAGAACTCCTTTTTGCAGAAGCAACATTTTGTTTGGTGAATACTGAAAAGATGTTTGTTAGACTACAAAAAACCAATTACCCAAGTATAAAGCGTCAAGAGCATTTATGCATGAGCGTAGAAGAAATCTGGGCCTCTGAGGACAGTGGATTTCAGCTTAGCGTGTCACTTCCTGTCTTCTTCTTCGTCCCACAGGACAAATTTGTGTCAGCTCTGTATCTTTTATTCTCTTGCTTTAGCTTGTTTTTTCTTTCTCTTTTTTTTGCTGCTACTTTTGGCCACGCTCACACTTTGAGGAGCTCAGTCTTTGTTATTTTTTATTCTTTTCTGTCTCCGTGTGCTGAGCTCCTACCTCCTCCTCGGCTGGATATTCCCCCCAGGACTCTGATGTTTACTCTTTATCTGGTTCTCCTCCAGCGGAGGATGCAGACGTGTTTCACTGCCATGGTTACCGCCGGGCTGCTGTGAGAATAACCGCTGCCACTTTGTAGTTGAGGAGTTGACGGGGAAGAACGGGAACAGGAGAGGAATGCCGCAGCGCAGAACCCTGGGTACAGGCTCAGGACGGATATTTGGGGTCTGCTCTGCATTAATGAGGTCGCTTTCAGACCAACTCTAATGCAGGAATAAAGCTGCCTCCTGTCCCTAAAGCGCCTCAGAGCAGCTCAGGAAACCATGGCTGAGCGGTTCATTGGATAAAAGAGCATCACGCCTGCTGCACCCGTTTGGTCTCAGGTGTTTCTGACGGTTTGTTTGCACGAGTTTGCAAACTTCCATCAGCCGTCTCCTCTGGCGTGTCCTAAAATATCCCCGCTGTTCTGGTAGCCATTAAAACGCTGTTGATGCTAATCTGCTACCCGTTACTAGCGTCTGTGATTTACAAACCAGAAACTGCAAACGCATCTTGTCCCACGCAGATTTAGGGCGTTCCTTTTACTGGATAGTACTAGGAGTGTACTGCCTTAGGCACCCGGCGATTAGATTAGACTTCGATTCAGGGTCCTTCCATTCACTTATTACACCACTGTCATGACTTTTTTTTCATGCATTTGATTCACCGTTTTGATTTTCTCCTTACGAGGCCAGGCGCCTTGCTTACAAGGACGCTGTCCTTCCTTGGCCAAAGAAAACTGTTAAATTGAACAGGCTTGCATCACGTGACACGGGAGATAACATAATATTTTATACGTATTAGTTTCAATAGAAATGCCTTTTACTTTTTAAATTGTGTATATATTTGTTAAATAAAACAGTTGAGTGAGTTACTACCTGCTAGCCACCGAAGCTGCAACTACTAAGCAACTAGCCAACCATAGATAACTTCTTTGGATAAAAAAAAACATTTCAGATATCGGCCCAATAGCTATAATAAGTAGACTTCCATTTAAACTTGAAATGTTCCCCCGGAGTAGCTGCCGGCTTCTGATCCACCGTCCTATTGAAAATACCGCAGTGTGTTCTGGGTAATTTTTTACCAAGGCTAGGCTACAAGACACTGTAATGGTTTAATTTACATGTTATTTAATGAGCTATAAGATTCCAGAGTAAATATGAAATCAACCTTATGGATCTGTGGGTACTGTTTAACCAGGAGATTTGAACTTTTTATTGCAGGGATTAGATAACAGCTTCGTATTCACTCAGAGACAACAGAAGAGAGAGTCGAGTTTAAAAATTTAAAAGATTTATTACTAAACAAATTAAAACTAGACTGACTTTAACACTAAATGTATGATGTAACTAAGGTGAGTGAGACGGAGAACGGTGTAGTGTGGAATGTTGCTCAGAACCAGCAAATCCGAAGAATCGATTAGTTCTGGTGGGAGTGAAGGTGATGCCTTCGCGTTAAGCTTTGGTTAGGAGATTCATAAACACATTCGACGCCATTCTGTCGGTCTACGTACCCTTAGCGGAAGTCCCCGTTAGATCAGGAGGTGTAGAGGTCCAGCTTGACCTTTGTGGAGCCGAAGGCCGTAGAAACAGCCGCGGCCGCCGACCACCAGTCTAGAGATACTTCCGGGTCATGACAGTTTATTGGCATCTAGCAAGACCCAAAACGGGGTCGTGATGGTTCAGCTTTTATTCTGAAAGGAACCGTTGCAGCAGGTGGAACAGCAACAGATTTTATCCAGCTTGTCGTTGGTTCTTTCGGCTGAAGAGGAAAGTTACGGATTGGCCACTCCGACAACTTCTCTGGCGTTAAAGATGGCGTGGGCATAGTTTAATAATTCAGATGTTTTGATTTACGGTCGAATGAAAAGGTGACAGATTTACCAAACACCACCAAAACCACGCCTCCATCAGATCTGGCAGATTCTGATTGGATCAGTAAAAGCAATGTGTCATGTCTTTTAACGCTCCGTGAGATCAGTCCTAGTGGAACATTTAAAGCCATATTACTTATTATATTCTGTAGGATTATAATAAAGTAATTAATAGTTTGATTTCACAGATTGGTCACATCTTATTATTGACTAACACTTTGTTTGATTAGCTTTATTAAAATAGAGTTCTTTGATTAATTAAAAGGAGAGAGTCTTTTCTTCATTCTTCTCTTGAGCTGGAAAGAAGCAGTTTATAACAAATGCATGAGACCTTGAGGCCATATGTCATGCAGACTAGTTCTGTGTCAGAGGAGAGGGAGAATGACTTTTGGTGGAAAACAGTTGTTTCATTCCGTTACAACACCTCCCGTGTATCCTCGCCCAGCTAGCTAGACAGCTAACAGACTGAGAACATGGACACTGGAACATGCCTTGGCGGTTCCTGATGACGTATTTCCTAGGCAACCGGGGCGGGGCCAAGACATCAAGGCGAGGTTCCTTGGCATTGAGAAACACCCAAAGACTACAGCCCAATCCCACTACCCCGCACTGCACCCCACGGTCTTCTGTGAAGTGCACAAGTGTGCAAATAATTGCAGAATTGGGACAGCGCTTGTCATCAACCAGAACGCATGCCGGGAAGCTGGTCGCTGTGCTACTTTAAAAAAAATATACATTTATTAACTTTCAAACAAACAATTATTTGAAATAAATTAACATTCATTGCAGCTTTGTCTAAAACACGCAGAGCATCAACTAATCGTCCTAAAACGAACTACGTTAATTAAAAAATATATCTTTTTAGAAAAAGGAACTTGAGTCTTTCCTCCCACAACAATGGATTATGGGTAATACACGTCACCCACTTCACCAAAGCGCTTCACCGCCTTAGCGCTGGTTTCCGACGTCCGCGCTAAAACGCATTTCACCAACGTTTAACCTCTAGCTATTTAACCTTCCCCTCACCCCCATCCTAACCTTAACCCGGTGGCTCATTCTAAACTTCCCGTTAACCGTGTTTGAGAGGGATGCCACAACTAGGAACAAACTTTTGAATGCGCAAGGTCAGAATTTGGTGAAATTGGCGTTTTACCAAGCCCCCACAATGCGGGTCAAAAACTGAAGCCAACTCGGAAATGAAATAAATTGCAGTTCCACCCTCATCCACTAGGGGCTGGTGTCAGAAGCGAGCAAATCCTCATTGAATCCCATGTTAAAAATACCAAATTCACAGCAGAAATAAACATGTTTACAGCCTGGTACCAAAACATGTTTTTGTTTAAATGATCTAGTTTACACTCATGACAACTCTGAGGGGGGTGAATTTTTTTTCACTCTTCTGTTTAAGTGTATTAAAAGCCTAAAATTCTGTATAATTAATGAGCATCAGACCCACGTGACCACAGAGCTCCGTTGAAAGGCCTCAGTAGAGCCTCGGTCTGATTTGGAAACTGCTCCGGGATTTTGAGTCTCTGTGTTTGTGTTTTCTTTTTTGGATATTATTTGTGCAATTGTTGGACAAAATGACTTGCTGTGGCATTAATTGCACTAATAGAGCGTCCAAGGAGTCTCCACTTCATTTTTTTCGGTAAGTAAAATTATATTTATGTGTTTTAGGTCACTGCCGAGCTGAGCTCAGAGTTTAACATGTACTGTTTAACCATGAAATTTAAATGTAATAGGGTAAAACCCAGTGCATTTAACATAATGCTGCACTTTAGAAAATGGGTTGAAATATAACATGTTGGTGGAGCTGGGTTCCGACTATCGGCTTGTGGAGCTCTCGGGAGACCGATGTTTTCCACCCGGTTCTCCCCTCCCCGCAGCTCGGCGCATCTCTGTCTGATCGCGGCTTCTGTCTGCTGTGCGGGCTGACGGCTGGTTCTCCCCAGCGGCAGCTCTGCGCATCTCAGATCGCAGCAGCGCTTGTCTGCTGCTCGGCTGCCGGCTTGTGAAGGTCTCGGAGACCTCTGTGTTCCACCCGGTTCTCCCCAGCGGTCAGCCCAGCGTATCTCTGACGCAGAAGCTCTGGTGTTGTGCACAAATAACTCCGGTTGTAGCTAGGTTGCTACCTCCGTTAGCTTAGCTCCCACCTCCGCGTTAGCTTTGGGTTAGCTTCAGGTTAGCTTGTAGCTAGTTCGACCGGGTGTCGTCAGTTGATCCCAGCCTTACAGCCCCACCCTCAGCTCCACCTCTCTTCCCTTTTGTGGAATTGTCTGGGCTTGACGGAACCTGTGACACGGTCAAAATGGCGGTGGTGGCCACCTCCCATTTGGCCTCAAAAACGTGTTATTGGAGTCTATGGAAACCCATTATGTCGATGCGTTTTACGCAGGTGTTGGAATCCGATTCTCTGTCAGTTTTCAACGCTTTGGGAATGAGAATGTATTGGCTCAGAAGGAATTGTGCTTAAATGTAACGTTCCTTCTAACATGACAGAGACGCTAGGCTGTTTTGTGATAGAATGCTTACATATTGTACCTTTAACCTCCTCGTCAGGATCGCCACAGACCCAGAGATGGCAATCCACCCAACCACAGACTCGGATTAGGAGCTGATCTCTGTTTGTTATCATTAAAACTACGCCGAGAGCTAAACATAAGGATTTCCTCTTGATAAATAAGTCAGTGTTGCTCTGGAGTCTGTAGGTGATGTGCTGTGAAAAGCACCCCCCCCTGCTTTCAGTCCGGCTCCGAATCAGTACAGTTTAGCTAAACTTTAGTCCACCAGCACAAAAGAAAACAGGTTTTCTACATTTGCCAGTCAAGTTTTATTTCACTTTTAAGAAAAAATAAACAGAAAAGAAACGTTTGTTCTTCGTAAACATCTATATTGATTTTCATTACATGATGTCTTCAGCATTTAAAAATACTTTTACTCTTTACTACAACATTTCCAACAGAAACACCGTTTTCAGAATGAGCAGCTCATGCATCGACACACCCGTGGACGGAAGAGTATGAATGAATCTACACTCACAGAAAGAAAGGGGACACTCAAAAAGACACGGACAGAAGCACTCCCACGTTTGTCTCTACGCTAAGTTGGTGTTTAATTCTTTTACAAAACCAGTCAGCACCAACAACACAAACTACACGAACCTAACAGAAAATGTTCAAAATCAGCTGAAAATGAAATGATCATCAATTCTTGTCAAAAGCACTTTGTGACCTCACAAACAGAACTGCATGAGGAAAGTAAAAAAACAACTTAAACATGTTTAAGGTAACAGAGTTAAATTAAATACAAGCTGATGCACGAGGATGTTAGACCTTAATACACGATTAAAATCTTACGTTTGTTTGGCTCCACTTATTCCACCTTCAGATGATGTATTTATACCCAAACTTTAATCCAACACCGCCCGGCCATTCTTTGTTGCTTCAAGGAGCTCCAACATTTAAGTTACTGCACTCAGAATCTGAAACGTTGATTATAAAAGAAAACATAAATACGGACATAAATACAGGCAGCCATAAATAATCCAGTAAGCTTGTAACATTCACTTCATGAACACATCACCCCAGCGTTTTTGTTTGTTAAGTCAGTACTGCAGGAACAAGTGCCGATCTCACCAAAACGAAGAAAATCGAGACGGACGCAGCTCTTGGTCAGCTCCAACAGCCAATCAGTGAATCAGCGAGCAAAGCTAACAAAAATAACTCATAATTTAAAGAATATTATTAAGTTTCTGCTTTTTAGCAGTTTCATTGTAGTTTATGTTATTCAAACACACACACACACACACACACACACACACACACACACACACACACACACACACACTTTAAACACTTAACATTTTTCTGAAACAAGTTTCTGCTAAAATCTCTTAGAACAGCCTCAGTTTGGAGAAAAAAAAGTTGAGTTCTGACCAGATTGATATGCTAATGGTCAGTCACAACAGGACAAGTTGCAAAGATGCAGTTGTATGAATAAGGGCTGCGTTCCATTTATAAGTAAGTCAGCCTCTTGAGTAGGACATCTGAAGCTGCAGATGTGGAATGCTGCCGGTTCTCTTCAAAGCTGTTTAAAGCCCAGGTCTCACTTTAAACCAAAACTTTATTTTGCATTTTCTAACGACAAATCTCACTTTAAAAGTTCAGTTTAATTGTCTCCGGTTGCCTTGCGTGAGTTGGTAATTTGGGGCTACATAGTGGAGCAGTTGGTAGCTCCAGTGTTTCACAGCAAGAAGGTTGCAGGTTCAAAGCTGAGGCCCTTCTGTGAGGAGTTAGCATGTTCTCCTCATGCGTGTGTGGGTTGTTTCCAGGTTCCTCCCACAGACCAAACACATGCATGTCAGGTTACTTGGAGACTAAATTCCTCCCTTGCATGTGAGAGTGTTTCATACGCATGCAAGTGTGTTTAAAACGCGTCATGTGGCTGAAGACGACTCAGTGACCTCAGTGTAAAACAGCTACATTTGACGCACACACACACACACACACACACACATACACACACACACACACACACACACACACACACACACACACACACACACACACACACACACGCACGCACACACACACGTTTCAAGTCATCGAGCCAGTTCTCCTGTGGTGTCAGCAGCTCTGTGGCCCCGCCCACTCCTTTCTGTCATTCAGAAAACAGAGATCAGGCCAGACAGAAGTCTCAGCTGGAGTTTAACCGGAATCTGAGCTAGAATAAAAAAATAAAATCATAAAAAGCTGCTGACCCAGAGGTCAGGTAGCTCAGCTTCCACTGAGGTCACTGAGGAAGCATCAGCCCACCAGACTCACGTTCCACATGGTCAGGAAAAAAATACTCTTCTAGTGAGGCGAAGTCTTACTTAGACCCGCACAGGCAGTAGATATCTAAATTACCCACAATGCACTACACTTGATGATAAAGACTTCCTAGTGTTTAATCATCTGGAGCAGGAGTTTTTTTCATTTCAGTCAAGAGGAAGAACTCTAGATGATCAGCCTTATAACACTTAAGATTCCCCCAAATGTCCTCATAGATGTCATTTCTGAGTCCTGGAGCGTGATGCTGAACACTCCAACCAGTTTAGAGGAAATGGGGCAGCAGCAACAGAACAGATGGCCAAACTCTTTACAGCTCCAGACGTGCTACAGCTGAAAAAAGCAGTTTCACTTCAGACTGAGCTGCTGGTTTTCCCGGTGTCGGTACAAGATCGGCTCGGGGTCCGTCGACTGCCGATGACGTCAAAGTAGTTGATTGGCTGAACATGAACCTTACGGAATTATGTAATCACGTTACGTTGGTCCAGGCAAATCTTTCTGTTGGAAAGATGGACAACTTTTACGAAGAAATCCATCATTACTAGCCTAGTGAACTGGACCAAATTCTTGCTTTGCAAAGTTTGGTCTAGGAACGCTCCACTGGAACCTCTGCAGCCCCAACAGCATTCTGGCTGGCCAATCACAGCTCTCTAGAGGGGTTTCAAACACATAAAGAGCTGTGATTGGTCCATAATGGTGGGCCAATCATAGTGCTCTATCTGCTTAGTGAACAAATCACAGAGCTTTATCCGCTTTGTGGGCCAATCAGGGCACTCTATATGCCTGGTGGGTGGGATGATGCAACAGAGCGAAACAAGAGTATGTCACATTCATTGTCCAGTAGCGTGCAGAGATCATTTGAAAGACAACGGTAGAACCCGCCCCACAACCGAGAGCCGTCAATGGAGCGTTGCCAGACTAAATAATACATTTATTTAGTTTGGCTTGCCAGGCTACATCATTACATCTTTGAAAATACACGTTTAGCATAGAGCTGCATGTATATTAGGGCTGAACGATTAACTGCATGTGCAATTAAATTGCGATGTGACAAAAGGAGATTTTCTAATCACAAAGGCTGCAATTTGGCGGCGAGTGGTTAGCGCAATGCTAATATACATGGAAAACCCCATAGGAATGCTAATGCTAATATCACCGATTACATTCTTACAAATTATGAATTAGAAACGTGCCAAATGATTACATTTGGACTCTAATAGAAAGTAAAACTACCATCAATCAAATAAGTACAGACCGGTATTTTAGTAAAGCCAGAAAACTTTTAACTCCAGAGTTTTGGCTAGCAGCTATGAGCGTAACTGAACTACGCATGGACAAGACGTCAAAAACTCTAAACACAAAACACTTCAATAAACGGGACACACTTCTTTCCTGCAAACACAATTGCACAGGTGTTGCTAATACCTATGATCCTTCAAGGGATGTGCTCAAAGAGGATTTCAACATTATGAATAAAATGTAGTGTTTTATTTTACAAATACCATTATAAACACAAACTTACGTCGTAAGAAACATTATTTTAATAACGAAACTGCTAAATTCTTTCCAACAGTATAGATGTGTAGTGTATTTTGTCCGAGTGGGTTTGCCGTACTTTGACGTCATCGGCAGTCGAAGGACCCCGAGCCGATCTTGCACCCGAGCAGATCCTGTACCGACACCGTCACATCGCTGATGCCAAGCTAGTCCGATTGAAGCTGGGTCCAATCTGGGCCAGTTGGGTTGCCAGAAACAGTTCTGAGAGCTTCGGCCATATTTAACCAAGTAGAATTTATGTGAAGTTTGTAATCGGTATGGTGCCCACGCTGAGCAGCCTCAGCTATTAGAAATATAGATTGTTAGAATAATGAGCTATTGGCAAGACTAAGTCAGACCTCAGGTTTAACGCCAAGAATGTCTTTATATTACTGGGTCACTAAGTCTGGGCCAGGATACCACTGAGGGTTAGGGTACACCACATTTGGACTCTTTAAATATTTTTCAGAAACCAAATAAAATACCAATATTTTCACTTTCAATCAGGGTGTAGCATCCAGAAATGGTCAGATTTTTTATCTACAGTTGACCTCTCCATGTGCCGGATACTGGACAGCTGTACTAAAAATCAGAGTCCACAAACAGATATGAGCAGAGCAAAATGAGCTGAATCAGCATGTTTTTGTTATCTCTGTGCTAATGTAGCTTTTCACGGATGTTTGTGTCGTTTAAACAGACACTTGTGGGGCTGCGTTGATATTTAGCAGGTTTAAGGGCTGTGAAGAACTGTTTAAGCCTGCCGTCAGTTGCACTTCACCTGAGTTCGGATGGAAATATGTCAAAATTAGTTTAACGCCTAAAGCTAGCTGCTGCTATTAACATATGCTAACCATAGAAATCAATGTAAGTAGATATATAATGCAGTGAGAAGTGTTTACATCAACTATGAGTCATGGCAGATGGCTGCTCACACCGAGCCAGGCTCTGTTTGGACCCTTCTTCCTGTTGAGGGGAATTTTCCTCTCCACTGTCACTACATGCTTGTTTAGCTTGAGGACTGCTGTAAAGCAGATGTGTGACCAAGTCACTGCTTTGCAAGTCACAAGTAAGTCACGAGTCTTTCCAGTTGAAACCCAGTTGAGTCCAAAGTCAATGATGTGGAAGTCCAAGTCAAGTCCAAGTTCTTAACTTTGAATTTTCAAGTCATAATCAAGTCATCTGTCCAACTTCAAGTTAATGACGATGATAATAAATAGATTACAGAATTAAAGCTTCATTTACTTGCTCAAATATGTTGTCCATGCCATGCCACTTTTGTGCAAAAATGGCAAATATGCTCAAGTCATCATCAAGTCAACAGACGCAAGTCGATTCAAGTCGCAAGTCATTGGCATTCAAGTCCAAGTCAAGTCGTAAGTCTTTATAGATTTTATCAAGTCAAGTCAGAAGTCATTAAAATAATGACTGGAGTCCAAGTCATGTGACTCGAGTCCACACCTCTGCTGTAAAGTTGTTGATACAACTCGGTGACTAGATGCAATCAGCTGGGTTAAGGAAAGCTTGAACTAAGTGGCATGATGAACTGAACTCGTGTTGTAATTTGGTGCTTTATGAATAAAGTTGATAGAATTTTAGATAAAAATTGCTTTTTGATGACAATGATCCATGCTGCCTAGCTGTTAGCTCATTGATCCAGAGCTAATCAGTATTTCTTCAAAGTGAGGAGGTAAAAGAGCTCTCTCCTATTGGACTTAATCCCAACTTTCTCTTTCAGTGAAAGTGAGAAAATCTGAACTCTGTGTCGACGTGGGACACCGGACCGCCCCCGTTGTCCAGCTTCAGTCCTGCTTCTGGACACGGCGAGGGCATGAACACAGCATCAAACCGTGGCGCCTTCCACCGCCCCCTAATTCAACATGATGCGGCGTCACATTTCAGCTGTTTTCTACTTTTATTTTGACACACATGCCCGAGTCAACGATTTACCCATAAAACCTCGCTGGCCGTTTAGCACATTTAATGGCGGCGTGAACACTTTCAGTTTGACTCGCCACAGCTGCCAGCATGCCGTTAAATGCTCACAAATGAAAACAACACAAACATACGGTTAGGGGTGTGTGATAGTGTTCTCCCATTAACTCTCCTCTCAGGGCGGTTAAATCGTCCCATGAGGCGGAGACTTCGAAGCTGCCTTGTAGTTCCTTCACCTTTCCTCTCCTCTTTGCTTCCTTCTACTTGAAATATTAACTTCACAAAGAAGGGAGGGGCTTTACAGAAATCAGACGTACTCACATCTATTAAAGTTTCTTATAATATCATGTACAGTTAGAAACACCGCTTCTGAGTTGTCAACAACATCGCCTTCACAGTTGTCGCCATGGTCACAGTCCTACCTCCCGGTTGCTCCATCCTGCCTGTGTCGGCACTCGTTGTAAACATAGAATGCTTCACACAGTCACTGGCTCCGCCCACTTTCAGTCCTCTCATCGTATCGAGACTCGATGTCCTGTTGCGTCCCCCCCCCCCGTAACAGTTTTTGTAATTTTACCGCTGCTGCTGCTTTTACAATTGCACGATAACAACATCAACACGTGACGCCATTGAAAAGAGTAGAAAATGAGCATCGGGAGGAGGAAGAGGAGGAAGAGGAGGAGGAGGAGGAGATTAAAAGACGTTTGTGACTACAGAGGCTCATTATCACAACTTCGAGACTTTCCTATGGGGCACATGAAAGTAAGGCAGTAGGGGGTGTGTGTGTGTGTACGGTGTATGGAGTGTGTGTTGGATGTGGGACTACTTTGCACAGTGTATCGTGGACGGTGGTGATGATGCTGCCTGCGGGTCTGGGGCAGGCTCACCCGTGGGAGCTCTCATAGATGTGAAGGCGGTTTGAGGGAGACCCTCTACTGTAAAACCTTTTCCACGTTGCCTCCGTCCTCCTCAGAGCCTGGCTGATTATCCTCCATGCTGCTGGTTTGACATCCTGGAACCTTTAGATAATGATTGGACCACCATCCGGTGATAATTATGCATTAGACTCTGCAGCTCATAATGTTGAAGCCCAGGAGTTCTCCATCCCTGGAGATGGGAGAGTCCTCTGGGTAAAAGAGCGGTTTCAAACAAGAATAATAGGTCTCGACATTGTTGGAGAGTTGTAACGCCTCATGAGGATGCAGACTCGTAGTTTTCAGGGAAGAAAGAAGTGTAAAGACATGAAATCCATTTTTTAAGACTCGCTTTTTCCACAAAGAAGCTCGGCTCCTTCAAATCAGCAGTGGGTCTCTCTCCCTCTGCTCCTTCCGTTCAAAACCCTGGTATATGGCAGTAGGCCTCCAGTGAAGCCAGCAGGATGTAAATCAGCCACAGACAGACAAACAGCATCGACGTTAGCAGCTTGCAAGTCCGCGGGCCGCCCAGCTCGCCGCCTGCCACCGTGGGCCGCCGACGGTACAGCAGCGTGACCACACACAACACCGCCATGATGGTGAAGAGGGTGACGGAGAAGGCCAGGTTTCCTGGGTCCACCTTAAACGGTTTGCCCTTGGAGCGCCAGACCACAGCAGCGATGGTCCACGCCACTCCGATGCCCAGGAAGACGTTGACGGCGTTGGAGCCGGTGACGTTGCCGATGGAGGCGTCGGCATACTGGTCCTGGATGGCTGCAACCTTACTGGCAAACGTGTCTGGTGAAACAAAAAGATGTGAAATATTTATTATTCACTGACCCGTGCAGGAACAACCGTTCGGTTTTGATTTCCGAATAACACAAATCTACATGTGGTCAAAACCAAAGATGTCTTTCAGTTCCTTCAGAAACTGAAAAAGAGCCTAAAACTGGGTTGGCGGAGAACTCTGGGGAGGCAGCTACTGCACGTCGATCCGGGCTTCGGCTCTATTTATAGAGCTCCGGGAGTTGACGTCACTTCTCCCGGCATGCAACAGTTCAAATCGAAACGGCGCCATCTTGGCAGGCAGAAGCCCGCAGCTGGACTATTTGTTATTGTCAGAAAACTCAAACGGGAAATATGGTAGATTCCTGTTGTGCACCAGGATGCAGAACAGACGTGGACAAGATAAGGAATGAGCCATCTACAGGATTTCCCAAGATCCGGAGCGCCGCAAACGTTGGATCATTGCAGTAAAACGCGCTAGTGACCAGGCTAAAATGAAGCTGTGGGATCCTGAGAGTAAAGGTTTTGCAGCCCTCTCGGTCTGCTAGGCTACAGCCTTTGTTGCATTTTTCAAACAGGAAGTGGGAGTGGAGTAAGAATCTGGTAGGGGGTGACTTGCTCTTTAAGTACCTCTATCTGCACATGCCTCAAAGAACAGCCCAAGTTAAAATCGTCAAAGGTTGATGCTGAAGGCGTTTCAAAGCAGCAACGTTCCTAAGCTGATGCCATCTTTCTAAATTTTCTCTCTGCAAACATAGAGCGCCGTGATTGGCTGGAACTAAAATTACTCGGGCCAATGGTGAAGCCAATGGCGCCCCCTAGAAAATTGCTGTCCCCCCAGCAAAAGCCATTGTTAATGATAAATCATATTAATGTTCACTCAAACCATAAATTTATCTTATTTATTCAAGCCATTATTATAAAACAAAATAAATACATCATCCAATTATGAGTAAATAAAATAACAGAGTAAAAAAATGAAAACATTTGTTTCTGCTGCTCATCATTTCATTTTTTTGTATCTCCATAGTTTTTGGTGACCACATAAACAGATGAATTAAACTAAAAAACACATTTTAAAATAAAAATTGAAATAACATTTTAAATAACAAATGTATTTTTCTAAAATGTTTGTGTTTGTAAAATTTAAAGGGACTTTACGGACTTTTGAATTTTTATGCTCGCGATCGCCCCCTCAGGCCAAAAGCGTAATGGCAGCTTCAATAGTAGGCTCGTGCACGAGGCGCGCATGCTGTACGTGCACACTCCTTAACGAAAATAACAGCTGAGACAGTCCCGTGTGTGTGTGTGTGTGTGTGTGTGTGGGGGGGGGGGGGGGGGTGTTAGGGGTTGTATGAACTAGTCGACTTCACCGCTCTATAGTGACTTTTTATGCCCGTCATCGATTAGTCGCTGTCACGTGATAATGACCGGCAAGATGCAGTCCTCGGAAAAGACAGCAGCCTGCTGTCAGCAGGTGACGAGCTCCTGCGCGTCAGGAGGCAACGCGCTGTGCCAGAGCGTCGGTACTGACACCCGCCGTAAAACGGACATTTAACCGAATTGTGACCTTTACCCTCTTGCAATTTAACCTGCCCCTCACCCCCATCCTAACCTTAACCAGCTTCTGCATGCAAAGCTCTGATTGTTGACGCGCTCCAGACATCTGCGTCCTGAGCACGGCCACAGTAACATTACCAAATCAGGTGTCGCCACCTCAAAAACTAATTTAACACGCGATCGTTCATGTCGGCTCATTTCCTTTTATGTTTTCTGTCTTTTATTTGTGCCTGATGCGTTTCGCTGCTGTGGATCGGGGTGCATCACCTGTTTTGTCCTCCGGTGACGCACCTAACTGATGCGGCCGGCGAGCACTCCGCTGTTTTAGCGGTTGGTAGATCTTTTAGAACTGCAGTTCAAAGGTAACTCATGAGGTGAATATATATGAACCCAGGTAGCAGTTTCTCTTTAGGATTGAGAGGAGATGCAGGAAGATAATAAACAGACAGGACAGAAAAATAGTCAAATAAAAACAAGTTAGTTTTTGTACCTGCTGGTTGCAACAAACAGACACCACTGAAGGTAATCAGAAGTGAGGAACAGAAAATGAAATAATTATTTTAATGTTTAGAGCAGCAGGAACTCCGAGAGGCTGCAGGCGCATCAGTGAGTTTGCAGCCGCTGCGCCGGGGGGATGGGGGGATGGGGGGATGGGGGGGGGGGGATGGGGGGCTGAAGCAGGATGCAGAAACTATTGTTGTTAAAAAAAACAATTAACTTAGAAAATGTGGGCGCAATATTCATTGTCAAAAAAAACTCCAGCGAACCAACCGACCCCCCCCCCCCCCGCTTCAGGTGTATGACGTCATCAACGACTAGTCAAAGTCGACTCGATTTTCATTACTTGACAGTCGACTTAAAAAAAATTAAGTCATGCAGCCCCTAGTGTGTAATAGTGTATAATACTGATCTTAATACAATTGAATATGTAAAACTAGAAATTACAATTACTGAAGTTGTTGAATAGAATCTGTCAATATTCAACACAGAACAGCTTAAATGGTGATAACCAGTCTCAACATTTATAATGTGTGTGTCATGCGTTTACAGTACGTGTAGTCAGAGTGTCTAGTGCAGCTAGATTAAAGTCATATTACTTATTAAAGGGACTTTACGGACTTTTGAATTTTTATGCTCGCGATTGCCCCCTCAGGCCAAAAGTGTAACGGCAGCTTCAATAGTAGGCTCGTGCACGAGGCGCGCATGCTGTACGTGCACACTCCTTAACAAAAATAACAGCTGAGACAGTCCTGTGTGTGTGTGTGTGTGTGTGTGTGTGTGTGTGCGTGTGTGTGTGTGTGTGTGTGTGTGTGCGTGTGTGTGTGTGTGTGTGTGGCCCGGAGGACAGAGGACAGGAAAACACAGCTAATTTATTAAATAATTTGGTTCTGTACCTTTCTCTTCAGCACAGCCGACAAAGGTTTATGATGGGTCAGTCCTCCTGCATGCTCAGATCATTCCCTTCCCTTGCTTGAAAAATTGTTCCAAAATGAAAGTTGAACCCACTTCTTTTTTATCTGTGAATTCAATGCCGTTCGGCGAGACTCAAATAAAAATTTGGGCATCTTACTGTAAAAAAATATACCATTGATGTAAAAAAGAAACTCTAAATAAACTATGTTCACACCTAGAATCAAACCCAGGTCTTCTGCACGAGAGTCCGACATCTTACTAGGTGAGCTAAAACACCAGTGACGTCTTTTGTATCTGTAACGTTTATATCCTTGATGACAGCTGAAACAACGTTCAAAGAACGGTTCGGAGTGAAAATGGCTATTTTGTTGCTAATTTGCAGGAAATATCTAGAAGAAAGTTCTACAGAAAGTAGCTAAGGGTCCTCAGAAATGTAGCTAGCTTTGTCACTAGGCGCTAGGAACAGCGGCAAAGTGGCACTGCCTCTCTCTCTGCTGCTAAAGCTACGGATAGCAAATGCTACGGGCGATGCCTGAGCGTGAACGCGCATGAAGCAGCCTGCTCGACCCGAGCATCTCTCGTTTTCGGTGATTTTACAGAAAAACAGGCAATCACAGTAAAAATGCCAGGGCTCATTCTACAGGACCAGGGCATTGCAGGAGAATGTATGAAGAAGACATTTATTATTTCTATACATGTTTTGGCCGTCAAACTTCCATAATGTCCCTTTAACCTAGATGTTTTGGATACATGTTTTTTAATAAAAATAAATAAAGGAGCAACACAATGCATCCCCACAGGCTAAACTCTCCCAGAGTTACCACAAGGACCAAGTTGGTGTGCCACCCCAAAGATTTCTTTGGCCCCGTCTGGCCACCCATATCAAAATTTTCTGGAGGCGCCCCTGGCTGAGGCTACAATTGATAGAACTGACCTGAAGATCAAAATCTCTTGCTCCTGCCACAGCTGGTCCAGGTTTGTAGACCAGTGAAGATATCTATGGTGGTAAGAATCTCTAAAGCAGGAATCACACACCTCTTAGTATTTCCAAGCCTTCCACAGCTGTGTCCTCTCGTTGTCTGGATGGGCAATTTTACAGTAAATCACCCTAATAATCCTAGCTTCTGATGCAATTATACTTATATGAATCTTGGGGGGTGGGGGGTGGGGGGTGGGGTGGGGGGTGGATGATTAAAAACTGAGAAGAAATGAGTCTTTCTAACAGGAAGATTATAAACTCTCACAGTGGAAGTTATAATCACCTTTTTCCAACCCACACCCCTGAGTTCTACAGCACACACAAGTCAAAATGATGGATGAACCAATACCAAGTACACAACATCCAATAAAAGGAAGGTGGGGGGAGGAAACACCATGCCAGAGTCGTAAATTCACCCAGATGGGCTTGCGAGCAACCATGAAAGGTACAAGAGGTGCACCGAGAGTGAAGGACGTTACATGAAGATGACTAAAGGAGACCCAGAAGAAAAGCCAGCATGTAGAAGCAGACACGGGACGAGTGTAGACATACAGTCAACCTTAACTACTGCCAGTTTAAAAACACAAAGCGTACTGGTGCGCCATCAAAGCGCTCACCTGGACTCGAGCTATTTCTATAAATCAGACGGCGGCGCGGCAATAAACTCTGCTGGTCCGAGCAATGAGCTGGGGAATTGAATTAAAGTGTGAGCACGACGCGTTCCTCCAGCAGGAGACTAACTCAGGCTGACGGCTGAGATGCAACCTGGTTCTGACAACTCAAATGAGATTTTTAGCCTGCCTGTAGGGGCGGCCGGTACTACAACCAGATGATCACTCATCCTTTCATTTGTTTGTTTGCTTGTCGGTTACTGTTAAACTCTGGAAGAAACGTGCAGCTTCTTTAGTTTCTGCTTGAACAGAATTCAAAGGCTTCATCAATAGAAAGAAAGAAGGGTCTAAAACACAATAAATATAAACGACGACCTCAACCGACACCTGAAGCTCTTATAAACTAGGGATGGGTACCTTTGACATTTGAATCGATTCGATACTAATTCCCGATACCGGTACTTAACGGTTTTGAGTGTTTAATAGTTTAATTCTCTTTTATAATTAAATATATATTTTTCTCAATATATAACCATATTTGATGAATATCAGGATAAATAACATTCAACTGTTTGTATTTTAACATCGTCCTTGTAGTTTTATAAGCTGATAATTAAACTGAAGCAAACATCTTTACTGTGAACTAAATTTACTGTGTATCTTCATTCCTTTTGCCGTCCTTTTTCATTTGATTTTTCCTACTGGGAAGTTAGAATTTCCGAGGAGAAAGCGAACGCACCATTAGCTGATAACAATGGTGGCAATGGAAGCTAACATATCAAGCTAACGTTATCTTAAACAGTTTATTTAGCTGCTGGAGCAGATTAAAACGATGATGCCTCACACTTAGATTGTTGTCGCTGGTTTCTTCTTCACCCAATCACCCGTCGCATTTAGTAAAGTGAAGCCAAACTTTAGAGCACGTTCATGTTCTTCTAGTCAGAAATTCGGAGTTCCGAGGAGAAAGCGAACGCACCATTAGCGGAACGGAAGCTAACATATCAAGCTAACGTTATCTTAAACATTTTATTTAGCTACCGGAGCAGATTAAGATGAGGATGTCTCACTTAGATCGTTGTCGCTGGTTTCATCATCACCCAGTTACCCATCACATTTAGTGAAGTGGACCCAAGCTTTACCCCCAAATTCCACTACCTCCGCTCCGCTGCGCTCCGCTCCGACACGAACGCCGGAGCAAAATCGGTCCCGTTCTAGTCAATCAGAGCAATTCCACTACTGCGGCCGTGCTCCGGCAGTGCGGCGCCGTGCGGCGCCCTCTGTTCCGGCGTCCGGCAAAAATAGAATCGATCCTATTTTTGCCGGACGCCGGAGCACCTCCGCAGTAAATGGACAGAAATCACAACGGCCCAACAGGAAAAGGAGCAAGCACATCTTCCGTTTTTCACAATAAATCGCTAAACAAAAGGCGTTTTTTGTTTCATATGCACAGGTTTAACAACTTTTAACAACTATCAATGGCGGCTGAAGTTTAAATGCACAAAAATAAGCCATAAATACAGTTGCCACTATCAAAGTAGTCACACTTTGTTGATCCAAACACTGCTGATCTCTCAACACAATGATGGGCAGATTAAACAGCTCATTTCGATGCTTCTCCCACACAACGGGTGTTTGGATCTAACTTCCGCGTTTATTGCTCGGACTGTATCGCAAGATCTCGAAAATCCCGCGCATGCTTGTTTGCCCCCCTCAGGTCTCCGCACCGGAGCGGAGCCGTTGTAGAGCGGGTACCAGTAAAAATTGAGTTCGGAAGCGAGCGGCTGCGGAAGGCGGGGGCGGACCGGAGCGGAGCGGAGGTAGTGGAATTTGGGGGTTAGCGTGCGTTCTACCATGCTGCTCTGTTTACAACTGGCTCGCAGCGACCGAGTCCTAGGGATGGGTACCGAATTCGGTACTTTTTAAGGTACCGACTGAATTCCACAATACCGACCGAGCACCGATTCACTTCATTTGAAACGGTGCCTCGTTTCGGTATCCGTCCTTCACAACAAGAACTTGCCTAGACAGCTGCGCATGCGCAAGAGCGTTATGTCATCGGTCCATGCGAGCGAGTTGTAAACAGAGCAGTTCCAGTAGGTAAATAAAATGTTTAAGATAACGTTAGCTTGATTTGTTAGCTTCCGTGTCACTAATGGTGCGTTCGTTTTCTCCTCGGAACTCCGAAACTCCGACTAGAAGAACATGAACGCGCTCTAAAGTTTGGCTTCACTTTACTAAATGCTACGGGTGATTGGGTGAAGAAGAAACCAGCAACAACGATCTAAGTGTGAGGCATCATTGTTTTAATCTGCTCCAGCAGCTAAATAAACTGTTTAAGATAAAGTTAGCTTGATATGTTAGCTTCCATTGCCACCATTGTTATCAGCTAATGGTGCGTTCGCTTTCTCCTCGGAAATTCTAACTTCCCAGTAGGAAAAATCAAATGAAAAAGGACGGCAAAAGGAATGAAGATACACAGTAAATTTAGTTCACAGTAAAGATGTTTGCTTCAGTTTAATTATCAGCTTATAAAACTACAAGGACGATGTTAAAATACAAACAGTTGAATGTTATTTATCGTGATATTTATCAAATATGGTTATATATTGAGAAAAATATATATTTAATTATAAAAGAGAATTAAAATAATAAACACTCAAAAGTATCGAAAATTGGTACCGTTAAGTACCGGTATCGATTCGTAGGTACCGGGAATTAGTACCGGATTGATTCAAATGTCAAAGGTACCCATCCCTACCAGCGACATAACGCTCTTGCGCATGTGCAGCTGTCTAGGCAAGATCTCGTTATGAAGGACGGGTACCGAAACGAGGCACCGTTTCAAATGACGTGAATCGGTGCTCAGACGGTACTGTGGAATTCGGTCGGTACCTTAAAAAGTACCGAATTCGGTACCCATCGCTATTATAAACTGTCTGTTTAATACGACGTTTCAAACCTTATCACATCAGATCTCCCCCCACCCTGCCTCACCTGGCACCGATGTCCCCAACGCCACAAACACCACGGCCGTCACCGAGTCCTTCAGGCCCACCGTGCATCCAAAGTGTGACGCCAGGTCTCCGGTGATGGCGGTGAGGACGCCGATCAGCGATATGGAGACAATGAAGCAGGCCCAGCCGTTCCAGTACTCTGTAGGAGGAACGAATGCAAACAGGACCTTCCAGAAGACGGTGAGGAAGTGCATGATGTAGTCAAAGCAGGAGGGCAGCCGCTCTTCACCGCTCTCCTCTTCGTCATCGTCTCCTACAGAAGGTGGAAAGTTGATGGCAAAGAAAAGTGAGACAGACTTTAATTCTGTAAAATGCAAAACTGAAACAATTAGATTAAAAACAAAATGACACTATAAAATGGCTTTTTTTTAAACCAAAAGTTATACAGAAAGATTGCTTGCTTTTCTCAGCCACTACTAGCTAGAGTTAGATTTGGTTTTGGCTAACTTAAGCTAGGCTAACATATTAAACACTGCTAAACTAACCGGTTTAAGCCTTTGCCACTACAGATGTAAGCTGAGTTGAGATATACTCAACTATCTTAGATTAGTGTAGCTTATCTTAGTTTACCAAATGAAGTACCAGTGATATTATAGACCACAGTGCATTCTGGGAAAGTGGTCGCTCATACTGAAGTCGCTAGAAAGTAACTAAAGAATATGCACAGAGAACACTGCTGTGTGTTGAGTATCCTGTAGATAAAGCTATCTAAACAGATGTCAAAACATTTAGACTTCCTTTGTATTTAGTGACCTGAAAGTTTGGATCCTGGTTATGTCCAAAAATCAGCTGTGATGTCAGCCTCCTTCCCATGTGGCCTTAAAATGATACAGCCTCTAAGTGCAGTCTGCCCAATATCTTCTTCAAAGTCTTCTCCAAACGTGTCCTTACTTTCCTGGGATATGAATGATGAACCTGGTCTGTCGCCCTATCCAAAAATGTTCTGATTCTTGGCAGACCAAGATTTTAAAAATTCTCTGTTGTCAACATTTACTTGTGGATGTCATTAACCAGGGTTTTAGTTTTCGCAACCTCGCTGCCCACGAGATAAGTGCTCTTGCTGAAAACGATGAGGTGTGGACCCAAATTATTTCCTAGATGGGCTGAGGAGAAAATTCGGTTTTGCAAAACTCGGCTAAGTGTGTGCATGGTCTTTAGTCCTCTCAGAGAACAGGAGAAACCTCTTTATCCTAAAGCACTCACGGGCAGCCCAGTCAACTGCAGCAGCCTCTCCTCTCAGGTAAAAATATTAATGAAAAAGCCCGAGTAAACAGTCCAGAGAGTCTCTTATGGGCAAAGTTTAAACTGAGACAGAAAAAAAGATGATTTGTAGTTCTAAACATCATTGCTATTGCGCTGTTTTCACCCAAAAGGGGGCGTGGCTTTAGGAGAAAACTCACCACCGACTGAAATGTCTGTTTACCAAATCCTGTAACATATGTTGTGTTTCTTTCTGAATGTGTGTGTGTGTGTGTGTGTGTGTGTGTGTGTGTGTGTACCTGCACTGACAGTAACAGCGCTGACAAACTGCTCCCTCCAGCTGCTGCTTCCCACCACCAGGGCCAGGTTTGTCTTCTTGATCAGCTTATCCACTGTACTCTAAGTACACACACGCGCACACACACACACACACGCACACACACACAATCATACAAATGCATAGCACACACACACACGCGCACACACACAAGCATACAAATGCATAGCACACACACACACACACGCACACACACAAGCATACAAATGCATACAGAGCAGGAAAGACACACGCACGCAAGAAAATACTGTTTTCAAGCCCATAAATATAAACTTTAGATATTTAGACTCATAGTTTCAGGTACTAGATGCACAAATTAACAGTGAGAAGCTGGTTGAGACTGAATGTTTTAGTGATGTGTTCTAAGTGTAACAGAATGAAATGACTGTTTTCCACCTAAAAGTGACTTGCTCTTTAAATAACATGTAAATTTAATTCTTACACAAGAAAGGAAGGAAAAAACAATGCTTCCAGCACTCTGGAGGAGTTTCTTTAAAGCGGCAAGAAAATCCTCACAACAGCTGAACGCATCACACCAGCAGTCATTTTCTGTGCTCAGCTTTGTGGAAATCCTGCAAGGTGTATCATCTACTGTGCTAAAGAACAACATGAAGGGGAAAATGTACACTGCTTATATAAGAAATCACAAATTTACTCTTAAACGTGTTTCTGTGTGTGTTTGAATAGGAAAACTGTTACAGATAATCTGAGATGTTTAAGACCCAAGAGCTATCACAACATTAGATTGCTGCAAACTTCATGCATGACATGGATACCTTGTCAGTCTGTAAAATAACCACACTCGCTGGTGACTGCACTCACACACACACACAAACACACACACACACACACACACACACACACACACACACACACACACACACACACACACACACACACAACAGAAATGGACAAATGAGCACAGGAATGAAGTGAGTGAATGGCAGAAATGAATAACGCAACACATGAAATGAAAATGAAACAACACAAAGACCATGAGTAGTGACAAGGCACCAAATAAGCAAAGCTAAAATGTCCTTCAGCTGCTCATGAGAAACGCTAAATAATCAGTAATTATCTGTAGACAAATTAATTAGCTGGTAATCTAAAAAGTCTCTTCTCCTGATGGCAAATATGTAATAAATGATGCAGCAGTCATCTACTTCCTGGCTTCATGTTATATAGAAACCAGACAAAGGCTTGTTAATAAATCATCTGTAGTCTTTTAGAAGTTTGATTTAAAGCTGATCTAATGATTATGACTACATGAACATGCATCTGTACTGGTGATGAAGACACACACACACACACACACACACACACACACACACACACACACACACACACACACACACACACACACACACACACACACACCTTAAATTCGTAGGACTCCTCTATGATGACCTCCAGCTGCGTGTGTTCTCCCAGACTGGGACAGCCCATCTTGGCTACCTCCTCCTCCTCTGCTCCCACCAGTGGTTTGTTCTCGTTGGAGTCGTCTGCAGAAGCAAACAAAACAACATTTTCTGACACTACTCAGTGGATCTGACCTTTTTATACCCAGGCTCAATTTGTCTTAGGTAAAAATTCATTTAAATAACGAAGTAAACATCCATCCATCTTCTGAGCCCGCTTTATCCACGTGGGGTCGCAGGGGGGTGCTGGTGTATCTCCAGCAGTCAACGGGCAAGTAGGCAGGGTACACCCTGGACAGAGAGCCAGTCCATCGCAGGGCAACACAGAGACACACAGGACAAACAACCATGCACACACACACACACACACACACAAGGACAATTTAGACAGACCAGTTAACCTAACAATCATGTTTTGGACGGTGGGAGGAAGCCGGAGTACCCGGAGAGAACCCATGCATGCACAGGGAGAACATGCAAACTCCATGCAGGAAGATCCCAGGCTGGGAATCGAACCCAGGACCTTTTCGCTGCAAGGCAACAGCTCTAACCACTGTGTCACTGCGCAGCCCTAATGAAGTAAACAGTAAAAAAAACTTGTTAAACTATTTTGAAAACAGTCTAATTATTATTTCAAGAAATTAGGACTACAGCTAAAGCTAATGATAAAAGTGAGCTAAAACAGTAAAACTTTGTAAAAACACATGAAAAAAACAATTCTTTGTCTAAAACTATACATTATGGATTTAAAGGACAGAAACTGATGTATATATGATGGAATTCATATTTAAACTAGTTATTTCATGCACTTAAATTATGGAGTTGCACAGGGATGAATATTAGGTCTCACCCTTTTTTAAGCTGAAATGGCAAGACTGCAAAACAAGCTAGCTTTTAAACGCATACACAGAACTCTCATCCCTTCCTTTCTTCATCATTATATATCATATAATGGACTGGGACAACACACGGATCATAAACACAGAACAACAAAAGTTAAAAAGATGGATCAATGCAGTTGCAATAAAGAGGCGTGGACCCAGGACCATGAACGGGTACGAAGAAGTCTACATGCTGGACCATGGATACAAGGACGTGATGCCACCAACATCCGGCAGTTACCCTGACGCAGATGGCAGTGACGTCGAAACATGTCGGCAAAGGTAAAAAGAAACCCTCATCACACTGTGTACAACAAAGAAAGAAACTAAAACGAAAGAAAACTAAACATCATCCCTCCCATTGGCTATCATCCCTAGGTCACATCCGCCTTATATGGGAATGCACATTACCACAGTAAACGAGAAAGCGCAAAACACCTGTTGCAGTATTCTAGGTCAAAAAAGTCTTTTGTTGTTTGTGATTTCAAATGGTGTTTTTCTTTTTTGGACTCTGATAGTTTGTCCTAAAGTTGGAGAGGTAGCAGCTGGCTGTTTTTCTTTATCTGATGTTATTGAGTAGAGAACCTCTTATACCAGTGGTGTTCTGTTGGAAAATGCGCTAGCGCGTAATGAGTGGAGGAGCCAGGGAAGTGCGGTGCTCCGGTGAAACAGACAACCATATAGTCTAGTCATTTGTTTTGGGCATAGCCGCGTTATTGGCTGGGGTTTTTAGACAAAAGCAAGAGATCTCTACTAAATATTTATAGCTATACTATGTTACAAAGTTGTTAAGATGTCTGATAAAAATGTTTTAAGCTAGCATGTCCTGCAGACGTAGATTTAATCTTAACAGTTGCCATTCGGAAACCTTATCACGAGAAATGATGTTAACTTTCACTGCTACGCTGATGACACGTGACTTTTCTTCAACCCCCACCATCGATTTGCCTTTTAATTTTATTTTGTGGATTAAGAATGTAATCCATGAGAAGTATTGGGCTACTAAACCTGTTCATGTTGTCTGAACTGTAGTACCACAAGTGCCCACCAGGGTGCAGATTACACCTTCTGAAACCTGAGCTGTAGACGTGCAACATACTTTTCACCTCCAAGCACATGCGTCGGCTGTGCACTGAACGGAGCGAGTAAGTAGCAGAAAATAGTGAAGTATGAATCAATATAATTGAATATTTTATTTATAATATACTGTGAACAGGCTGGAACCTTGTGAGTCATCTGTGAGCAACTGGAGTAACCGTTTGTTGAGAGCTAGCTTGTGGAGATCCCGGTGAGTGAAAAGTTAGTTGGCCTGCCTTAGCTTTCGGCTAATGTGTTATTTTGGCATAAATTACTGACTTTTATTTAAAATAAAACCAATCGGGAGTTTTATGGACACTGTCCCAATCTTTTAAATGCTTTGATGTACTCCACATCATCGTAACGTGTGAGAGATTTGTTTAAAAAAAAAAAGCTAACGCTAATGCTAGCGCTAATGGCTACCGCTAGTTCCCATCTTTTACAATGGAGTAATTAGCACTGTAGCAAGAGGGCTCGTGCTCTCTGTATACCAATTGATTAATTTGTTAGAACGGCAACAGTTGATTGTGAGCTGTGTTAAGTTAGGCTATATAGTTGGTTTTAGTAAAAATAAATAAGTGTTTGTACAAAGTTGATAAGCAATTCATTTAATCTACCTGGTTACAAGGATTAAAAAGATAAAAAAGTGTTTTAAAAGTGATGAACATTTCAGTTATATCATATAAATATGATTAAGTCATAAGATGTTCAATTAATTTATGTTTAACATAAGGTTGCTGCTAAACAGCAGGAAAACTACACAAATTACAGTTTGAAGTTAAAGCTAAGAGCTGGAACTGGGAAGCATTTCAGTTGCTTTGATAAGGTTTTCCTAAACAATTGGATAACTACTAGTGATGCTCTTTTGAGTTAGATCTGAGGTCTCATATGGATAGAAAAATGAACAGAATGATTTACTTTCTGCATTCTATGTAGATTGGTTTTATAGGCTGTGTCTCAATTCAGGGTCTGCATCCTTCGTCGGCCGGTTACGTCACAGCGCCGCGACTAGGCATGTCCCAATTCGAAGACTCCTTCAAATGCGGTCGACAAATCCGGCCTTCTTTTCGCCTGAATGAAGGATGGGTTCGGTGTATCCTTCAATAGGTAGCATTTCCCAAGATGCCTTGCGGGCCGGCCGGCAGAAAAACTTTTAAAAACAATGGCGGACAGTGAAGCGGGAGCTGTTGGAGAGGATTGCGCATATAAATGTAAGTATAAACTTGAAAACTGTTAGGTTAAGGACTTTTTGTGACACATGAACTAGGGCTGCTCGATTATGGCAAAAATAATAATCACGATTTTTGTGACTGAAATTGAGATCACGATTATTTAGGACGATTTTTCAATTTATGATGATTTTATTTGTTTTTATTCAGTCATAAAATTGCTCAGGGCACAATTAGGACAAAAATAAGAAACAAGATGATCACTAAAATAACTCCTGATTCCCAGTATAAAAAGACCAATATACTTATAGCTCATAGTCTATGACCCAAGGGCTATAGACCTTGGTTTAACTCATTTAAGTCTAACCAGTACAGAACCAAATACCAATATCTTGCAAATACTGACAGCAAGAATTATACAGTGGCATTTATAACAAATAAATGCAAATAAATTGATGTTCACAAAATGTTGCATAACATTTATTGAGTCGTGTCAATGTGCTGTAGGAGAGTGCACTAGCACCGTGTCCTCAGAGAGGTTAGCTATTAGTTATCAGCGTGAGGAACTTATTTCTACCTTATTTATAAACTATTTATTTACAAGTCCATCAGTTAATGTAATAATTGTCCCAACCACAGCTGCACCCCCCACCCCCCAACCCGGTCTCACAGCAATCAGGGGCAAGCTGCACGTGTGTTTAGCGCGCTGCACGCGCACATTTAGCTGTTTTTAGCTGCTCAGGAGTCCGCAGGTGCGGTGTGTGTGTCACTCACTCTGGTTAATCCAACAAGGAGCCGGCTCCGAGAGCTGTCTTTAGCGACCGACACATCACTACATCATTCCCTTTCTAATGTTGTGAAGAATGGTCCGGAGCTCAGGCGGAGTGTTTAGCTAACCTGCAGGAAATGTCGACGACCGTTATCCAGAAAGTAGCTAAGGGTTACCAGAGATGTTTCTGAGATGTTCGCTAGGTACTTTTAGGATTAAAAAGTCAAGAAGGGGGTCTGAAAAGCTGCTAGAAATAGCGTCAAAGTCGCTAAGTTGGCAACACTATGAGGAGCGCTTCATTTGCAACTCAGGGCAGCGCAAGCGGGAGGAGCAAATAATCGGCTTGTTTTGTTTTTATAATCGTTCAAAACTCAGATCGTAATCGTGATTAAAATTCGATTAATTGAGCAGCCCTAACATGAACGTTATTTTAGTTAGAAATGTTACAGTAAAAGTGCTTGTATTGCGGTCTCGGCTCGTACAGGGTATCTGCGGGTCCTTAAAAAGTTTTAAAAAGTCTTAAATTAGCTTTTCCTAATTTAAGGCCTTAAAAGTCCTTAAAAATGACAAATAATCCTTAAATCCAGTTTTCAAAGGTCTTAAATGACCAAAGACCCAATAAACAAGATTCTTTTATTTCTATAAAAATTTCGTGAATCTCTAGTTAGTGTTCAGCATTTTTTGTGTACGATGTTGGCGTAAGCGGAACCGTACGCAGTCAGTTGGTTGTGAAAGGGGGCTATTTTAAGAGGAGCACATTAGCTGGTTAAGCTAGTGGGAGCTTGCGCCATGGGGAAGGGCAAGTTTAATGGTAACTGGATGGCTAATCCCACGTTCGCGACGTGGTTAGCACCGGCTCCAGGCAATAGCTGGAAATTATCGCTTAAATTTAATTTTTAAAATAGCTTAAATTTGGTCAAAGTGGCCTTAAAAAAGGTCTTAAGTCTTAAATTTGGCTCCCTTAAATCTGCAGCTACCCTGCTCGTATGTTCGACCGCTCGGTGTTGTACTTCTCCCGCTACGTTTTCCCCCTGATTTTAATAGGAGTTTGTATTTTAGGAACAAAAGAGAAAACCACGGACTTTATTAAGCTTAGGGCGGAGATGGACCACATGATCACTGGAGCAAAGCATTCGGCGGCTGTGGCATGGAGGTACAATAACATCTCATATTTTAAAAACTCGTTTGAGTTTATTTTTTTCTGCGAAACCATGAAAGGAATAACCCGTTGTCCTCTTTTCTCTTCTTGTTTCTTTTCTTACATGTTTGTTAAGACTATTCTGGAGAAAATGAGCACCCAGGGGAAGGTGACAGCGATGACCAGCTTCTGGAGCTGATCAGGGAGGACAAGAGGCTGCAGAGGGAGGCAGAGCAGCAGAGGGCAGGAGAGAAGGGAGAACTTTGACAGCTTTTTACTTTGCTAGAAAAAATGGTTAATAAAGATTAAACATGTACATATAAAAGAAATATCTAAATAAAATCAGTTCTGCATTAAACTCTTGAATTTTATTTTGGTTTACAAATGAGAATTTTTTACTAGAGGGTATCCTCTGGGTCTTAAAGTCTTAAAAGGTGATAAATCGGTTTTGGTCAAATGAAGACCCTTAGAAAGTATTAAAAACTATTATCACATCTTTGCTCAGGCTCAGCTTATCGAAAGTATTTTCTCTGAATTAGCTCTCCAACAGTCAAGGAAATGATAAAAGATCTAAATAAAACTTCGAGCTCCATCGTTTAAAGTTCTTTCTCCCTTCTGCTCAGCGGTTCCACGGTTGCTAGGCGACAGAACGTTCGCCGAGGGAGAGGTGGGAATTCATGAAGGCGAGGCCTGTCCAAATTCACAGCCGTTAACATCCGGTCTACCCGGCCGACGGAGGACCCAGCCCACGTCGGCCGAGTAGGCTGGGTCCTTCGAAGGATGCAGACCCTGAATTGAGACACAGCCATAGTTACTCTGCATTCTTGACGTGATGGCGAGCCGAGCCCAGATGGACTGCGGACAGGTGTAAACGGTGTGGCCAGCCGAGACATCCTTTCGCGGAGGAACCTTCACGAACTGGAAAAATCCATATAGATCTACAGATAAGACACAAACACTACCCGGGTAGCAACGTTGCTCAAGAACTGAATCCTAAAGATCAAAATCTATTTTTATTTATATTTTTTGGGGGGAAAAGAGCTCTCTTATTTTGGGTATTGTATTTGATTTTGAAAATATTGTAACCACACTTTTTTTTTTTAAATTTATTTGTATGCTGGGTGAAGCAATAAATCACTGTTGTTCACCTTTCGGATGGTTATCCTAATTCTCTTTGTAGATAGAGCCTAGTAGATGTCTTAGCACCTGACTAAAACTAGTCCCCTCTATAGGTGCTACACAAAACATTTCCAATTGCTCAATTAGAAAAAAAAAACAGTTAAAGCAGTAAAAAAATTTAAAATATTATTAAAATCAAATTGAAGAAGCACTTCGAGCTCTGGCAACGAATCGTCATAAAATATTGACGTGATTTTTGACTGTAACTCAGCTTTTTTTCCTAATCTAAATTTCATACAATAAATGAATTACTTCTTCTCTGATTGAGTTAAACTAACTAAAATATATAAAGCCAGAGTCTACATGTGTTACTCAGGAGGTTAAAGCTCACACCGAACACAAAGATTAATGTATTTTCATGAGTTACTTTGTGTTCAGGAGATTAAATATGGTTTCTTTTAATCAACACAGTAATAAAGAAAGCATATGTTAGGTATTAGTTGCCTGTATTTGGACCTTTTCTGGTCCAACTCTGTATTTGAACAAATGTTTGGTGTTTAATTCTCAAATCCTCCCCTCCAGTATTTAGTTTTAGTCAATAAACCTGTGATTCAACAGCTTTTGCACACCAACTGAAGTCAGATCATGTGTTATTCCGTTTATTTCCCCAAATCCTTAATTTAGCCCCAGTAGTGTGAATTATCACTGAGGCGCACGGAGCCTGCTGTGAGAGAACAGAATGTAAATTTTATTATTCTCGGACACACGGGAATCCAGACTACAATGACTCCTTGTTATTACAAAAAATGAACACGCATGAAAAAAGAACATCCTCTGACCTTTCCACCGTCTCATTACCATACATCACATCGTTCACTCTCTCATAAAGCGCCTGCCTTCACTCACGCTTCACAATCACCATGAACTATTATCAGTGAGGGGGGTTGCTGCAATTGAAAAGCAGAACATGTGTTATGGTGTGTGTGTGTGTGTGCGGAACGTGTTTAAATGTCAGTGTGCTGCTTCTTTGACGGCGTTCTAAAACCAATTATGTTTGCCTGCGATGAAACACACCTCAGGCTGTAGCCTCCTCATGTCTAACATCATGAATCCACCAGGAGAAGATTATGAGGAGGTCTAAAGAGGCCGACCGTGGTTTGGGTCATTCCACTTGGAAAAGCACCCCTTAAATGCAACTAAACAGCCAATCACATTTGGTTGCCAGGAAGAACTAGTTGATTTTTGGCCAATCAGCAAAGCCAAGCTTTATGTCGCTGGGGTGCTGGGAGGTTTCGCCCCTGCTCCCTGAGTGATTTGTTACTAAGCCCGTACAGTTACGCTGGTCATGTGATTGTGTTTTACATTAAACTGGCTAATGCTCAGAGCTTCCTCTGCACTCTGTTCCACCACAGAGTCACGTATATGCGCCACCACCTGTTCAAAAAGCGAAGAAGAATCGTCCAAATAGGAAAACAAACAAACAACTCCGGTGTTTTCTGTGGCTCAGTGCCAAGATTGTCACTACTCAAGCTGATGAGACCACTGACGGCTGTATCAACACAGAAAGCTTGTTCTGGTGCTGGCACACTGGTGTGCACGTTGAAGTGCAAAAACATTGATTCAATTGCCATTGTGCTCGTTGAACTGTTTTCTCTGATGACGACAAAGATAAAACTCATTGATCAGACTTATGATGGAGCCAATGTGATGAGAGGACATCAGCTAAAGGTCTGTGAACATAAAACACCATAAATTAGTTCTACGCTTTAACTTGTTTACAATGAAGACTTCTAATTAAATTCATTTGGTTTTAAGTCATAAGCTGCACTCTTCTGTAAGACTGGTAAGGTCCTTACTCCATGGTCTCATTTGGACACCCGTTGGTGATCTTGTTGAATTAAGTCACTGCATTGCCAAAATAATTGTATAGATGCCTCCTGATGCTGGCTGTAGGTCCCACTCTGTGGTTTAGGCAGGTACCCCCCCCCCCATACGTATTTCCATCAGCGTAACAGCAGTGAGGATTTTGGGCTCCTTGTCATTACTTGTGTTGGTAAACTGTGTTTTGTGAAGTCCGCAGTCAAAACATGCATCTACCAGGACATTTTAGAGCTGTTCATGCTTCCTTTGGCTGACAAGTTTTATGGAGATGCTTATTTCCTTTTCCAGCAGGATTTGGTACCTGCCTAGATGCCAAAGATACCAAGAGCCGGTTCAATAACCTTGGTGTTGCTGAGTTTGAATGGTCAACAAGCTGGTTTGACTTAAACCCCATGGGTTACTGTCAAACACACCAGACCCAACAATGCAGATTACCTGAAGTCAGCTGGGTTTTTATTACACCTCAGCAGGGCCACAGGTGGATGGCCTCCATGCCACACAGTAATTCGTTAAAACAGAGGCCCAGCCACTTTTCAGAAACCTGGAAATTCAGTTTAATTTTCAAAGACACTGAAATGTGGGTATTTATTAGCTGTAAGCCATAATCATCACAATTACCAGAAGTAAAGGCTTGAAATATGTCTCTGTTTAATGCAACTACTATAGAAAGAGTTTCTCTTTCTGAAATTAGTGAAAAAGGTATTGAAAACTTTTCATTTATTGAATTTTTTAGATGCATCTATTAGATTCCTCTGTAGAAAGGTCCTCTACAAAGACTGATTACATCCCATCAAGGATCAGGAACTGTAGATTTAATGTGACATAATGAGCGGTTGCTCAGAGGTTCCAGATCATGCTATTTTAAACGTTTGAGAACAAAAATAGACACAGTGTATGCTTGTTTATTTATTTATTAGATTATTTATTTATTAGATTATTGAGTTATTTTTTTAGTAATTTTCACGCCTCCCTGGGCTGCCACCTTACTGTAGTGGAGGGGCTTGACTGTCCCAATGATCCTAAATTGTTTGAGGCATTGTGCCTCTGGGGTCACCCATGGCAAACAGGTCCTAGGTGAGGGATCAGACAAAGAGCAGCCCAAAGACCTCTTGTGAAGAAAGATTTACATGGAAACAGTGTTCCCTCGCCCGGACACGGGTCATCGGTGCCCCCCGCTGGAGCCATTCCTGGAGGTGGGGCACGTTGACGAGCACCTAGTGGCCGGGCTTTCACCCATGGAGCCCGGCCTGAAGAGCAAACGTGAGTCCCCCTTCCCATGGGCTCACCCCTCACGGGAGGGGCCAAAGGGGTCGGGTGCAGTGTGTGATGGGTGGTGGTGGTCTGATCCTTGGCAACAGAAGCTGGCTCTCGGTATGTGGAATGTCACCTCTCTGGTGGGGAAGGAGCCTGACTTGGTGTGTGAGGTTGAGAGTTTCCAACTAGATAGTTGGATTCAACTCAACGCATGGCTGTGACTCCAGAATCAGTTTCCTTGAGAGGAGTTGGACACTAACACTCTAGAGTTGTACAAAATTGCATGGCCACCTCGCACACTTACCACTAGACTACCAAGTCTGCTACAGAGCAATCATCACCTATGCCACATATCCTAAGCTGGCCAGGGGAGACAGGTTTCAGACCAAATACTAGCGTCTAGGAGAGGAGCAGGGCCTGATGTTGGGAGCAGGACGACGGAGTGATGCACAAGTTATACATTAGGCCGTTTCAGAAATTTCAAAATAAAATTCTAAATTTGCAGCTGAAACAGGAAAATACATAAATGCAGGCAAAAATTGGTTTGGGGTATTTTACATGAGGAAACGGCGATATTACATGCTAAAACGCTCGAAAAAGTGGATTTTCCATGATATGGCTCCTTCAAAAACCCAACAACACAACTTAGTAAAGGCTAAATCTGGAGCCTGACTTCACTAGAGCCTTCCTAGTCAGTTCCCTGATAAAGTTCCCCGAGTGCTTTGGTAGGTCAGAGCTCAAATGTTTTGAAAGTATCTCCGTGCCCCTTCTCACGCTCTTTGTAACATCAGCACAAACTAGACACAAACTCACCGTGCTTCTGTCCGATCTCTAACAGAACCGGGTCTTCCAGCACAATTGTAAAGGACTTGTTCTTCTCGTACTCTTCATCATCAATAATCTTCACCTGGATCACTTTCCTGTTAAGAAGAGAAGACAAAGAACATACTGAGTGAAGTTATCCCACATTTCTGTGCTCCTCCTTGTGAGGAGTTGAATTCAGGTGGAGAGATTCTGCTTCGTGGCTCTCAAGAGACCCAACAGCATCCCTTTTACACAACCTTGAGTAACAATCATCAAAGAACAAAAATGAGCCTGACTCATGTTGATGATTGGACTCCCTATGGGTATGTTAATGTCCGGACCTTGAGGCAATATCTCATGCAGACTAGTTCTGTGTCAGAGGAGAGGGGAAAAATGACTTTTAGGTGGAAAACAGTCATTTCATTCCGTTACATATCCCCCTTTTCAGTGGTACGGTGGTCCGTACAGAGACCACCTGGCTTTGAACAGACCAGAGTCCTAAAGGGACTCCGACGATAGGGGAAGGTGCAGTTCCCCAGGAAGAGGCCAAAAGCGGTGATATACGAACCCCACTCCGAAGAACAGTACATGGTTTCAACAGTCTCGCATAATCCCTTTGGATCCCAATGAGATATTCTTTGTTGCTTATCTTTATGTATTTATGAAGTCAGTCCATTACTTTACCATACTTCTGTTTTGTGTTTTTCTAGTGTTTTATTTTGCCAGTAGTCATGTTCACTTCAGTCCAGCTTTGTTTCGTATCGTATTATCTCCCCTGTATTGTCTTATACATCATATTATCTCCCCTGTATTGTCTTATATATCATATTATCTCCGCTGTATTGTCTTATATATCGTATTGTCTCCCCTGCATTGTCTTACATATCGTATCGTCTCTCCTGTATTGTCTTATATATCGTGTTGTCTCCCCTGTATTGTCTAATATATTGGTCATCTCCACTGCATTGTCTTATATATCATATCATCTCCACTGCGTTGTCTTATATGTCGTATTATCTCCCCTGTATTGTCTTGCATATCATATTGTCTCACCTGTATTGTCTTATATATCGTATTGTCTCCCCTGTATTGTCTTATATATCGTATCGTCTCCCCTGTATTGTCTTATATATCGTATCGTCTCCCCTGTATTGTCTTATATGTCGTATTATCTCCCCTGTATTGTCTTATATGTCGTATTATCTCCCCTGTATTGTCTTGCATATCATATTGTCTCACCTGTATTGTCTTATATATCGTATTGTCTCCCCTGTATTGTCTTATATATCGTATCGTCTCCCCTGTATTGTCTTATATATCGTATCGTCTCCCCTGTATTGTCTTATATGTCGTATTATCTCCCCTGTATTGTCTTATATGTCGTATTATCTCCCCTGTATTGTCTTATATGTCGTATTATCTCCCCTGTATTGTCTTATATGTCGTATTATCTCCCCTGTATTGTCTTATATATTGTATCGTCTCCCCTGTATTGTCTTATATATCGTATTATCTCCCCTGTATTGTCTTATATGTCGTATTATCTCCCCTGTATTGTCTTATATGTCGTATTATCTCCCCTGTATTGTCTTATATGTCGTATTATCTCCCCTGTATTGTCTTATATGTCGTATTATCTCCCCTGTATTGTCTTGCATATCATATTGTCTCACCTGTATTGTCTTATATATCGTATTGTCTCCCCTGTATTGTCTTATATATCGTATCGTCTCCCCTGTATTGTCTTATATGTCGTATTATCTCCCCTGTATTGTCTTATATATCTTATCGTCTCCCCTGTATTGTCTTATATGTCGTATTATCTCTCCTGTATTGTCTTATATGTCGTATTATCTCCCCTGTATTGTCTTGCATATCATATTGTTTCACCTGTATTGTCTTATATATCGTATTGTCTCCCCTGTATTGTCTTACATATCGTATCGTCTCTCCTGTATTGTCTTATATATCGTGTTGTCTCCCCTGTATTGTCTAATATATTGGTCATCTCCACTGCATTGTCTTATATATCATATCATCTCCACTGCGTTGTCTTATATGTCGTATTATCTCCCCTGTATTGTCTTGCATATCATATTGTCTCACCTGTATTGTCTTATATATCGTATTGTCTCCCCTGTATTGTCTTATATATCGTATCGTCTCCCCTGTATTGTCTTATATATCGTATCGTCTCCCCTGTATTGTCTTATATGTCGTATTATCTCCCCTGTATTGTCTTATATATCGTATCGTCTCCCCTGTATTGTCTTATATGTCGTATTATCTCCCCTGTATTGTCTTATATGTCGTATTATCTCCCCTGTATTGTCTTGCATATCATATTGTCTCACCTGTATTGTCTTATATATCGTATTGTCTCCCCTGTATTGTCTTACATATCGTATCGTCTCTCCTGTATTGTCTTATATATCGTGTTGTCTCCCCTGTATTGTCTAATATATTGGTCATCTCCACTGCATTGTCTTATATATCATATCATCTCCACTGCGTTGTCTTATATGTCGTATTATCTCCCCTGTATTGTCTTATATGTCGTATTATCTCCCCTGTATTGTCTTGCATATCATATTGTCTCACCTGTATTGTCTTATATATCGTATTGTCTCCCCTGTATTGTCTTATATATCGTATCGTCTCCCCTGTATTGTCTTATATATCGTATTGTCTCCCCTGTATTGCCTTACATATCGTATCGTCTCTCCTGTATTGTCTTATATATCGTGTTGTCTCCCCTGTATTGTCTAATATATTGGTCATCTCCACTGCATTGTCTTATATATCATATCATCTCCACTGCGTTGTCTTATATGTCGTATTATCTCCCCTGTATTGTCTTATATGTCATATTATCTCCCCTGTATTGTCTTGCATATCATATTGTCTCACCCGTATTGTCTTATATATCGTGTCGTCTCCCCTGTATTGTCTTATATATAGTATCGTCTCCCCTGTATTGTCTTATATATCGTATTATCTCCCCTGTATTGTCTTATATATCGTGTCGTCTCCCCTGTTTTGTGATGTATAAATCGTATCACCAGATTTTTACAAAACACACCCCTAGTACATGACATGCTTAACAAATAAAAAAAATTATTGCACAGGGCAGAACATGGAATGGGTGACCGGGTCTCCAGTTAGAGAATGTCCACTAACTCTGCTGTGGTTATCCTCCCCCAAGCACCAACTCCCCCAACCTACAGAGATGGTTCCTCTAGGATTATTTCATTCCTCACTATCTGCCAGGAAGAGAGAGGAGAAACTCTTTACTTCAACTGGGTTGTTTCATAATACGCTTCACTGTCAGCCATTTTGACTCTAATGCTCCAAATAGGCTTTGGCTGAACAGAGAAAAACATGCGGCTGAGAGCTGGAAAGGAAAAGTATCTAGGAGGATTGTGGAGGAGAAATGGAGAGGTAGAGGGGTGGAAATGTATTGTTTTCGATGGTGAGCTGTCAGCAGCACTAGATAAAATTGGTTGGATTTGCTATTTCTAGCATCGGATCAACCTCAGAAGCCAACTTTCATCGTATAAAAAAAGAAATGCTAAAATGTTTTCAGTCAGAAGCAAAAAAAAAAAAAAAAGCTGCCGAAACAACATGTAGACACACAGAAGATGGTAAAACCAATATTCTGTCTTTTACTGGTGATTTTTTCAGTAATTATGAGTCAACCAACAGTTATGAGAGTTTCGAAGAAAATTGTATTCTTTATAAAAGTAACGGGGGAATTTTCTCACATGAAATAAATAAATTTAAACACTTGTGACTAGAAATAGTACAACTCTCACGTCAAAGGAAAGTGCACAAGTCTGTCGTAATTAGATGTAGCCTTTCTACAACTAGAGGATTAAACTAAACAGCAGATTAATTTCTTTGAACATAAATTAGAAGCTATACTGTACCATTCTTCTAAGGCCAAGAAGAGTCATTTTTACATGTTTGTTACTGAAAATATCATCACATTCTCTGTCTTCTCTCAATGCCACGGAAAATATAACAACTGTTTAAAAATAAATATTGAAGGGTGAATATTGTAAATAGAGAGCAAAATTCAAGTTGCGCCAGTAGCATCAACATGCAGAATGTGCTTAGCTTGTTTTATGGTGAGTTTTATTATGGTAGAAGGCTGTAAATAAATCATTTAGTGGAAACTCTGACTTTACTGCTGTGAATCACATTAGCTGTAAACATCTCTGTGATGTAAACTACTCTCTCATCTAGAAGTCTTTTCATGATTTGAAATATGGACTACTCTGAGTACACTTTCTACATTTTATCTTATTCACACTCAGTTTTACATCAATACTATGTTCTACTTTTATAAGGTAAATGGTAAATGGCCTGTATTTGATATAGCACCTTCTAGAGTCCTGGAACCCCCCAAGGCGCTTTACAACTCAATCAGCCATTCCTCCATTCACACACACATTCACACACTGGTGGGGATGAGCTGTAGCCACAGCTGCCCTGGGGCGTACTGACAGAGGCGAGGCTGCCGAGCACTGGCACCACCGGTCCCTCCGACCACCACCAGCAGGCAAGGTGGGTTAAGTGTCCTGCCCAAGGACACAACGACAGCGACAGACTGCGCGGGGCTCGAACCTGCAACCCTCCGATTACGGGGGCGAGCACTTAACTCCTGTGCCACCATCGCCCAGCTAAAGGTAGCAGCTAAAAACATTAAAACTCCTGCAAGAAATGATTTTATTTGTACATTTGTAGGTAATGCTAGCTAAGTGTATTTAGTAACAAGTTAACAATGCTGTTGGATGTATTTAGGCCTAAATGTACTTTTATTAGCAAGAAAACACATCTGCTTTTTCTAGTCTTTTAAACACGACTCAGTAGAAAATATTGTATTTGAATTTTAACATCAAAATTACATTTCTTTATCAGCATCCCTTTTTTGTGTTTCTGAAATAGCTTGAAATGAAATGCCTTCACCTTGTGTTGCCTAACTAGCATACTATGCAACATGGTCAGTTTTAAAAGATCGTAGACGTGCCATCGGGCGCTGGAGAGCGTCACAGCGTTGCAGCCATATTGGATGGGTCACTCAATTCAATTCAAGTTTATTTATATAGCGCCA